TTGCCACATACACTTCCTCCACATACCCGCATACGAACACTCTCTTTTATTATAGATTTTATTATTATTATTATTATTATTATATTATTATTATTATTATTCAGTTCTTGTGGGTTTTTTTCGGGCTATATGGCCATGTTCTAGAGGCATTTCTCCTGACGTTTTGCCTGCATCTATGGCAGGCATCCTCAGAGGTGAGGTCTGTTTGGTAACTGGGAAAAAGGGGTTTATATATCTGTGGAATGACCAGGGTGAGACAAAGGGCTTTTGTAAATTGGGCTAGGAGTGAATCTTTCAACTGACCACCTTGATTAGCATACAATGGGCCGACTGTGCCTGGAGCAAACTCTTCTTGAAAGGTAATTAGATGTCCCTGCCTGTTTTCCTCTCTGCTGTTTTTGCTGTTGCAATTTTAGAGTTTTTTAATACTGGTGGCCAGATTTTGTTCATTTTCATGGTCTCTTCCTTTCTGTTGAAATTGTCCACGTTTGTGGATTTCAATGGCTTCTCTGTGTAGTCTGACATGGTGGTTGTGAGAGTGGTCCAGCATTTCTGTGTTCTCAAATAATATGCTGTGTCCAGGATGGTTCATCAGGTGCTCTGCTATGGCTGACTTCTCTGGTTGGAGTAGTCTGCAGTGCCTTTCATGTTCCTTGATTCGTGTTTGGGCAATGCTGCGTTTGGCATAAAAACTCCAACCATCACCCAAGTCAAAAAAGAGGGCTCTACAGGCCAATGGATACTCCACCTCAGACATCAGAAGAGCTGCAAGACCAAGAACAAGCCACGAGAGAAAAGATGAAGATCCACCCAGAGGGAAAGTGTTCCTGCCTTACATCAAGGGAACCACTGACCACAGAGGGAAACTGATGAGGAAACACAACATACAAACAATCTACAGACCCACCAAGAAAATCCAACAAATGCTCCGTTCAGCAAAGGACAAGAGGGATCCTCTCACCTCTGCAGGAGTCTACCGTGTACCATGCAGCTGTGGACAAGTCTACATAGGGACCACCAAACGCAGCGCCCAGACACGCATCAAGGAACATGAAAGGCACTGCAAACTACTCCAACCAGAGAAGTCAGCCATAGCAGAGCACCTGATGAACCAGCCTGGACACAGCATATTATTTGAGAACACAGAAATGCTGGACCACTCTCACAACCACCATGTCAGACTACACAGAGAAGCCATTGAAATCCACAAACATGTGGACAATTTCAACAGAAAGGAGGAAACCATGAAAATGAACAAAATCTGGCTACCAGTATTAAAAAATTCTAAAATTGCAACAGCAAAAACAGCAGAGAGAAAAACAGGCAGGGACATCTAATCACCTTTCAAGAAGAGTTTGCTCCAGGCACAGTCAGCCCATTGTATGCTAATCAAGGTGGTCAGTTGCAAGATTCACACCTAGCCCAACTTACAAAAGCCCTTTGTCTCACCCTGGTCATTCCACAGATATATAAACCCCTTCCTAATTCCAACAGACCTCACAACCTCTGAGGATGCTTGCCATAGATGCAGGCGAAACGTCAGGAGAAATGCCTCTAGAACATGGCTATAGCCCGAAAAAACCCACAAGAACATAGTGATTCCAGCCATGAAAGCCTTCGACAATACATTATTATTATTATTGTTGTTGTTGTTTTTGTGTTATACTGCCTTATGTAAGCCACCCCGAGTCTCCTTGGTGAGATGGTGGTGGGGTATAAATAAAGTTTAATAATAATGATGCTGATAATAATAATAATTAATAATCATCCTCCTGGAAACCCAACAAGCGCCTTGAAGGCACGCACAGCACTACCCAGCATCCCCTGATCCACATCTCTCACAACGTCCTATTTCTTTCTCAAATTCTTTTAATCATGTCTTTCATTTGAGGACTTTACAAAGCGGATATTTCAGGATTTTTTTTTCCATCAGAAGAAACTTTATTTAAAGCACAACACAAAATACATTTCAATACCTGAGCAAAACATTACATATCCCCCCCTTTTTTAAAAAAAATCACCTTTCTTTCTTATTTTCTCCAAGGCTGAAACAAAAAAGTGAAGCAAATGGAGGAATCCTGACAAAATTAACACCATCTCCTTATTACAAATGGCCTCTATACAGCCAGGGAGGAAGTTGAATCCTTATGCACAGCATTTCTATACAGGAGAGTCTCACTTATCCGACCTTCACTCATCCAACGCAGCCGGCCACCCGCCCGGATCCACAGCTGTTCCTATACATTGCGATGTTTTGGTCCGCAATTACGATGTTACCATGTATTGAACTGCTTTTCCTGTCGATTTGTTATAAAACGTGATGTTTTGGTGCTAAATTTGTAAATATAGTCATTATGACATAACGTTACTGTGTAATGAACTGCTTTTTCTGTCAATTTGTTGCAAAATGTGATTTTTTGTTGCTAAATTTATAAATATAGTAATTACGACATAATGTTGCTGTGTAATGAACTGCTTTTTCTGTCAATTTGTTGCAAAATGTGATGTTTTGGTGCTAAATTTATAAATATAGTAATTACGACATAACGTTACTGTGTAATGAACTGCTTTTTCTGTCAATTTGTTGCAAAATGTGATGTTTTGGAGCTTAATTTGTAAATATAGTCATTACGACATAACGTTACTGTGTAATGAACTGCTTTTTCTGTCAATTTGTTGTAAAATGTGATGTTTTGGTGATAAATTTGTAAATATAGTAATTATGACATAACGTTACTATATACTGAACTGCTTTTTCTGTCAATTTGTTGTAAAACGTGATGTTTTGGAGCTTAATTTGTAAATATAGTAATTACGACATAACGTTACTATATACTGAACTGCTTTTTCTGTCAATTTGTTGCAAAATGTGATGTTTTGGAGCTTAATTTGTAAATATAGTCATTACGACATAACGTTACTGTGTAACGAACTGCTTTTTCTGTCAATTTGTTGCAAAATGTGATGTTTTGGTGCTAAATTTGTAAATATAGTCATTACAACATAACGTTACTATATACTGAACTGCTTTTTCTGTCAATTTGTTGCAAAATGTGATGTTTTGGAGCTTAATTTGTAAATATAGTCATTACGACATAACGTTACTGTGTAATGAACTGCTTTTTCTGTCAATTTGTTGCAAAATGTGATGTTTTGGTGATAAATTCGTAAATATAGTCATTACGACATAACGTTACTATATACTGAACTGCTTTTTCTGTCAATTTGTTGCAAAATGTGATGTTTTGGTGCTAAATTTGTAAATATAGTCATTACGACATAACGTTACTGTGTAATGAACTGCTTTTTCTGTCAATTTGTTGCAAAATGTGATGTTTTGGTGCTAAATTTGTAAATATAGTCATTACGACATAACGTTACTATATACTGAACTGCTTTTTCTGTCAATTTGTTGCAAAATGTGATGTTTTGGAGCTTAATTCGTAAATATAGTAATTATGACATAATGTTACTGTGTAATGAACTGCTTTTTCTTTCGATTTGTTGCAAAATGTGATGTTTTGGTGCTAAATTTGTAAATATAGTCATTACGACATAACGTTACCGTGTATTGAACTGCTTTTTCTGTCAATTTGTTGCAAAATGTGATGTTTTGGAGCTTAATTTGTAAAACCATCACGCAATAGGCTTCTCCTGAATTCCACCTTATTATTATTCCACATTTTCGCTTATCCAACATTCTGCCAGCCCATTGATGTTGGATAAGTGAGACTCTCCTGTATATATAAATTATTTTGTGTTTTGTGGCATTTGTACGGCGTGTTTCTCCCCGGACGGGACTCGCGGAGGTTGAAGAAACAGGTCCTTGTAACCTTCACCAAAACGCTTTAAAAGAAGACAGTTTAACAACATTTTTCAAATTCAAAAATGAAAATATGAAGCCAAGTGTAAGAACTTCCACAGCAGGAAATGTCCCATCCGAAGGACATCCTTCCTAGTAAATATTCAAGGATGCAAATTAAATCCAAACACAGGCCTGAAAGCAGAGTCCAAAAGGAAAGCACCCGAGACCACAAGAACCCCTGAATACCCCCCCCCCCCAAGGAGATCAATGAAGGAGAGAAGGAGGCCGGCGTCCCGTCCTTGACCCGTTGAGTGTGACACTTCCAGGGAAGCCCAAGGTTTCCACCATAGTCTCCATAAAGGGATCCCCAGAGATCTCCATTCAAGGACCCGCTCCTTAACCATATTTCTTTGATTCTCAAACACAAAGGCTCTCTCTCCAAATTGCTACCTTGATATATCAACCTGGTCAGAGAGAGGCATATATCAACGTGGCTAGACCACATCTGGAATCATGCGGTCTCTAATTCTGGGCACCACAACAGAAGCTCCCTTCAATTGAGGTGCTAAGAGACATTGACTCTAAGCTGGAATACTGTGTCCAGAGGAAGAGGGTGACTCAAAGGATCCAGGGTCTGGAGAACAAGCCCCACGAGGAGTGGTTCAAAGAGCTGGGCATGTTTAGCCTGAAGAAGAGAAGGCTGAGGGGAGACATGATGAGGGCCATGGATAAATAGGTGAGGGGAAGTCATAGGGAGGAGGCTTCCTTTCTGCTGCCCTGGAGACTAGGACGCCATGGAGCCATGGTTCCAAACTACAGGAAAGGAAGGAGATTCCACCTGAACATGAAGAAGAACTACCTGTCAGAAGGGCTGTTCAGCAGTGGAACTCTCTGATGCAGAGTGTGGCGGAGGCTTTGAAAAAGAGGCTGGGTGGCCATCTGTAGGGGGTGCTTTGAATGCAATTTTCCTGTTTCTTTGCAGGGTTGGACTGGATGGCCCATGAGGCCTCTTCCAGCTCTAGGATTCTACAATTCCATATATAAGGGATGGAGGCGGCTGCTTTTTAAAGTCACAGTGCATTGGGTGGGGGAAGATGCTGGGTGCATCTACACTGCAGGGTTAATGCTGTTTGATGCCCTCTGAACTGCCGAGGCTCAGTGCTATGGGACGCTGGGCGTATGGGGAGGCAGTGAAACTGCATTAATCCTACAGTGCAGACACACCCAGCATGGAGCCTGACCAAAGGGGAGAAACGGGGACATTCCAGTTGGGGAAGGCAGGGGCAAGGACCCCAATTATTGCTCCCTGCAAGCAGCTCCCCACCATGTGCTGCTATGGGGAGGGTGGGCTGGATGGCCTTTGGGGTCCCCTTCCAATCTTCTCTGGAGCCCAGAAAAGCTCTCTCCAGCATCAAGGAAAGGGAGAAGGTCAAGAAGAGAGAAGAAGGGAAGCAAGACATCAATCGCCGGCAGAAATGCAGCACAGAAAACGCAAAGGAAGCCCCTCTCTCTCCCTGTCCGTCCGTCCATCCATCCACGCAGAGGGAGACACAGAAACAGACTTGCAGCCCTTTCTGTCACATTGAGGGGATTTCCCAGTCTCGCCAGTTCATTCCAGTTTCTGCAGAAGGAAAGGCAAACAAGGGGTAAGTCGTACATTAGGTATGGATGTATTTATACCCCAATTGATCTCACCCGCAGGAGACTCAAAGCAGCTGCCCCCTTGCGCCCCACTCAAGAGCATAAATATGCCCCATAATAATGAGAAAGCCCGCCCCATAACAAAAACGGTTGGAGGGCTTGGTATACTGGGGGGAGATGAGGGAGATGACTTTACCTCCGACTTGGCTTTCTCTGTTGGTTTTTTCTCTGGAAACACTGGGAAAGAGAAGGAGGGAAGGGAAAGGGTCAAAAGGAGGGGTGAGGATGAGGGGAAGGGGTCCCCAGGCTCAGAACTCCCCCCCCTTGTCACGGCCAGGAACCTGGGCCCCCCAAAGCCCCCCCCCCCCGGGGCCACTCACCCTTCTGGAAGAAGGCCTGCAGCAGTCCATAGAGGGCAAAGGCGATGAGGAAGCAGCCCACCGCGTCCTCCAGGGAGGGGCCCGAGGAGCCTGACCACAGGGGAGAATAATAAAATAATAATAAAACTTTATATACCGCTCTATCTCTCGGGGGGGGGGGGGGGGGAGGACTCAGGGTGGTTTCCAAACACCATCAAAACATACAGAGTCACATCATGGAAAAAGAACCCCTGTTAGGAGAATGACCAGGGTCATCTATAAGGGGCTAGGTCGTGTCCGGACAGTGTCTGGGCTGAGCTAGCACTGGTCACTCTTGAAGATTTATTGAAACCACCAAGTCTTCAAACTCGTATGAAAAGAGGGGAGGGATGGGGCCTCTCTTATTTCCTTTGGAAGGGCGTTCCAGGGGCGGGGGGCCACCACCAAGAAGGCCCTCTCTCTTGTCCCCACCAACTGTGCTTGTGACGGAGGTGGGACCGAGAGGAGGGCCTCCCCAGAGGATCGTAGAGTTCGTGCTGGTTCATAGAAGGAGATGTGATTGCAAAGATAGGCAGGACCTGTACCGCTTAGGGCTTTATAGGTCATGACCTGCACCTTGAATTTGGCTCGGCAACTTATCGGCAGCCAGTGAAGCTGTTTTAATAGGGGGGTTGTATGCTCCCTATAGTTTGGCTGTCGCTCGTTGTACCAGTTCAAACTTCCAGGCCGTCTTCAAGGGCAGCCCCACGTAGAGTGCATTGCAGTAGTCCAATCTGGATGTCACCAAGGCGTGGACCACCCTGGCCAAGTCAGACTTCACGAGGTATGGTCGCAGCTGGCGCATGAGTTTAAGTTGTGCAAAGGCCCTCCCGGCCACCGCCGACACCTGAGCATCAAGTGACAGTGCTGAGCCCAGGAGGACCCTCAAGCTACGGACCTGCGCCTTCAGGGGGAGTGTAACCCCGTTGAGCACAGGTTGCCACCCTAGACCCTGGTCAGCCCCATGGCTGACCAGGAGGACCTCTGTCTTGTCTGGATTAAGCTTCAACCTGTTAGCCCTTTCTCACAGGAAAGTCCACTGGTGTTGCAGATCCAGGGAACCCTGTGGGGTCTTTGCCAGTGTCTCTGCTTGACTCGCCCTCCATCTCACAATGGGGAGCGTCTGTGTTTGCTTCCCTCCCTCCTCACAGCCCTCTTTTGGGTCCTGTTCACAAGGAGGGGGGGGGGGCAAAACGAGGCCCCTTCCCCACAAAAGAACTGTGTGATCCCTCCTCCCAAGAAAGAGTTGGACGTGAGGAACCCCCACTTTCAATCCTGTTTTGCCAGAATACAACTTTCTAGAGATGCAGGGGTTCCTCTCTTCAAAGTGACCCCTCCCAATTAATGACCCCCTACCCCCCCCAATCCCGCTTACCCACCTGCGATGTGGACAGTGACGCTCTGGCGCAGGCTGCCCTCCCCAAGGGCTGGGTGGGAGACGCGGCACTCAACGGAGACGCCATGGTCCTGGGGCCGGAGGGGGGGCAGCCGAGCAAAGCTGGTGAAGCGGAAGGTGCCCTCGGGGGACTGGTGGTGCCCCGATTCCCAGCTCTGCAGCGCCCCGCCCAGGGCCCCCCCGCGCAGCCCCCAAGAGACGGAGGCACTCTGCGGAAAGTGGCCCGAGACCTCGCAGGCCAGCTCGGCCGGGGAGTGGGGGGCCACCACCAGGACAGGGGACAGGCGCAGGGAGATCGTGGGGGGCTCTGCGGAGGAAGAGAGGGAGGAGCGGTCAGAAGACGAGGGAAGAGACCTAGGCACACTTCTGGCTGAGGCTGAAACGTCCCCGTCCCCCTCTCTGCCTCCTCTGTCCTCGGCTGACCCACACTGCAGTTTAAAGCAGTTTAATTAACGACTGTAATTCATTGCATTAACTACTATTAATGCAATGAATTACTGTATATACTCCAGTATAAGCCTAGTTTTTCATCTAGGCTTATACTCAAGTGAAGGTTATTTATTATTTTACTCTGTTGTTATTATTATTATTATTATTATTACTACTACATTTATAACTTTACTCTATTAGCATTATTACATTTATTATTTTACTTTATTATTGTTATGACATTTATTATTTACATTTATGATTTTACTCAATTATAACTCTTATTACTACATTTCCATTATTTTAATCCATAATAATAATAATAATAATAATAATAATAAATGTAATAATTCATTTTATTAATAAATTATTACATTTATGATCTTATTCTCTTTATTATTATTGCGAGGATACATAAGCACATTTACATTGAAGAAGATGAAAATAATGGTTTCATCAGAGTCGGACCGTCTTATCGTAAATTACAGTTTTATGTAAATATTCAAAAACATTCTCTCACTGAGGCCTTCTCTCACTGAGGCCTTCTCTCACTGAGGCCTTCTCACACTGAGGCCTTCTCTCACTGAGGCCTTCTCACACTGAGGCCTTCTCTCACTGAGGCCTTCTCTCACTGAGGCCTTCTCTCACTGAGGCCTTCTCTCACTGAGGCCTTCTCACACTGAGGCCTTCTCTCACTGAGGCCTTCTCTCACTGAGGCTTTCTCTCACTGAGGCCTTCTCACACTGAGGCCTTCTCACACTGAGGCCTTCTCTCACTGAGGCCTTCTCACACTGAGGCCTCTCACACTGAGGCTTCTCTCACTGAGGCCTTCTCACACTGAGGCCTTCTCTCACTGAGGCCTTTCTCACTGAGGCCTTCTCACACTGAGGCCTTTCTCACTGAGCCTTCTCACACTGAGGCCTTCTCTCACTGAGGCTTCTCTCACTGAGGCCTTCTCTCACTGAGGCCTTCTCACTGAGGCCTTCTCACACTGAGGCCTTCTCTCACTGAGGCCTTCTCACACTGAGGCCTTCTCTCACTGAGGCCTTCTCTCACTGAGGCCTTCTCTCACTGAGGCCTTCTCACACTGAGGCCTTCTCTCACTGAGGCCTTCTCTCACTGAGGCCTTCTCTCACTGAGGCCTTCTCACACTGAGGCCTTCTCTCACTGAGGCCTTCTCTCACTGAGGCCTTCTCTCACTGAGGCCTTCTCACACTGAGGCCTTCTCTCACTGAGGCCTTCTCTCACTGAGGCCTGCTGAGCTACAGGCACACCTACTTATATTGAACTGCACCCATGTAACTTTTTCAGAGCTTCGTTTACATTTTTGTTATTAAGTATGCCTAGTTAATTTTTGTAATTATTATTATTTATTAATAATTTAATTTACAACATTTGTATCCCGCCCATTATCAGCCCGAAGGCAACTCAGGGCGGCGTATAAATCGGCAACAGTTATATGCCATATATAAAAATGCACACATCAATAAAAAACAAAAACATCACAATACACTGAAAAGCATAAAAACAGTGAACAATAAAAATTTTTAACTACCGTATGTCTTCATGTTTGGTCATGTTGTGGTTCCAAATGCTTGCTCAAAGCATTTGGAACCACATCAAAAGGCCAGGAGGAAGGGCGCCCATGTAATATCCCTAGGCAGGGAGTTCCACAGCCGAGGGGCCACCACAGAGAAGGCCCTGTCTCTCGTCCCCGCAGGCGGGATCGAGAGCTGTGTTTTTGCTTGCTACTGGGGCATTTGCTATCCGGCTTGCAGTGGTTCAGGGAGGTTATGAGCCCCCTCACCAAGCCCACCCCCATCGCATGTGGGTCTCCCAAGGGGAATCCCCCTCCCCATATCCCCGATCTCGGACTCACCCAGGACGCGGAGGCGGATGGCCTGCTGGGCATGGAGGTGGGGCAGGAAGAGGGTGCAGATGTAGACGCCCTCCTGGTGGGGCCCCACCGCTCGCAGCTGCAGGGAGGCATTCCCCGTCAAGGGGTCCAGGAAGAGGCGGGCCCCCTCCTCTGCCACGGAGACTCTCCCTGCCTCAGGGGCCGCCCCGTCGTAGGCCAGGATCACACGCCCCGCTCCGCCGTGCTGGTGGCGCCACTCCACTGAGAAGGGGGCCCCCGAGGGCCCCGAGAAGCCACAGTCAAGCAGCACATCCTGGCCCAGGCGGGAGGACACCAGCGGGGTCCGCGTGAAGACCGACAGCACCACTGGAAGGAGGGGGGGGAGAGAGAAAAGGGATCCAGATTAGTACGAGATGAAGGTCCTCCATTGAGACTGCCTCCCTCCTCCCCATCCATCTGGCCCTGAAATCAGCCCTTCTGGGTCTGTCCTTTACAGTTCGGACATAAACCCAGGAAAGGAAACCCCCTTTGGGTGGGAGGAATTGGAGGGAACCTCCCTTGGATTAAACCAAAAGGGATTCAGTTTGAACATATGTGATAGAACAGTGGTTCTCAACCTTTCTAATGCCGTGACCCCTAAATACAGTTCCTCATGTGGTGGTGACCCCCAACCATAACATTATTTTCGTTGCTACTTTATAACTGTAATTTTGCTACTGTTATGAATCGTAATGTCAATACCTGATCTGCAGGATGTATTTTCATTGTTACAAATTGAACATAATTAAAGCATAGCGATTAATCACAAAAACAATGTGTTTGGAGGAGTATGGACAATGGATGATGGGATCTGCAGTACCTTCAGACGATTCAGCTATGACTGCCACAGACTACTGAGACCCCCACAACTTACAGACCTGGTCCAAACTTTGCAATTGAACTAAACTTGGCAGAGAGAAGTCCCATGAGCAACAGAGAATACTGGGAGGGTGTGGGGATAACAGATATTAGCATTCGGGAGCTGCTTGTATTCTCCTGCGCGCCACGGCTATCGCCTAGGAGGCACCTGCAAATGCCACCGTAGCTCAAGCCCTACTGTGACTGCACACGCAGCGGCGGCCCAGGAGGCATTTGCAGGCGCAGGAGAGCCTTCCATCATCCTCCATTGGGGTGCTGCTGGGCTGCAGCTGCTCCTGCAGGCCCGGAGACCCCCCTCCTCCACTCCTGGGAGGGAGATGGAATGCCCTCCTGGGCCTGTCACATAGTGGTGGAGGCGTGAGTCGGGAGACCCAGGTTCGTCCGGCTCACGCCATCGCCGAGCCCGGTGGGTGGCACGCGCTGGGCAACCAGGCTCCCAGGTAGGGCCTGGGCCCTGTGAGGAGGCTTTTGCCTGGCTCATGCCACCGCTGAGCCTGGTGTGAGGTGTGAGCGGGGCAACCCAGGCTGCCAGGCAGAGGCGCAAGCTGGGCAGAAGCCTTCCCACGGGGCCCAGGCTCTACCTGGGAGCCTGGGTTGTTCCACTCATGCCTCCCGCCGGGCTCGGCAGAGGCACGAGCCAGGCAAAAGCCTCCTCACAGGGCCCAAGCTTTACCTGGGAGCCTGGTTGCCCAGTGCGTGCCACCACCAGGCTCGGCGATGGCACGAGCCGGACAAACCTGGGTCTCCCAGTGGGAGGCGTGAGCGGGGCGTCCCAGGCAGGGCCATTTTGCAGAGGGGGCAGGACCAAAGGAGGAAGCCTCATGACCCCTCCAAAATGGCCAAGCGACCCCACAGGGGGTCACGACCCCCAGGTTGAGTACCACTGTGATAGAAGAAATATGGAGACAGATTGGGCACAGACTGGATGGGAAGAGAAGAGGAAGAAGAGGGCCAGAGACAGAAGGAAGAGAAGAGACAGAGATCTCGTTGGGAAAGGCGCAATAGAGCAAGGGATATAAAAGTATTGACTTGTAATGTTTGTGGGATTAAGACACTCAGAAAATGTAGTCAGGAGTTCCCCAATACCAGATGTGATTTGTCTCCAAGAGACGCTTATACGAGAAAGAGATGAAGGACTGCCTTTTCATCTGAAGTTGGGGCCACGTTTCTCCACTTTGGTGGTTAAGGAGAGGAATCGTAGTATCTTGCGAGTAGGATCTATGTGGCTGCTGTAACCAAAGGTAGTTTGCTGCTATGATCCCGAGAAGAGGGGAAACTAAATCAACCCGACTATAGGCCTGAATAACATTCAAGGACAGCAGAAGGGGTTGTTTTGGGGGGAGAAGAGAGACAGAGGGAGAGGAAAAGAGACCCCAATTGGGAGCGACGGGGTCAGAGGGTAAGGGTGGGAGGAATTGGAAGGAACCTCCTTTAGATTAATCCAAAAATGATTCAGATTAAACAGAGAGCAAAACGCAATAGAACCTGGGGGTCGGGACTCCTGGGTGGGTCGTGAGGGGGTGTCATAGGGGTCTCAAAAGACCATCAGGAAACACAGTACTTTCTGTTGGTTATGGGGGTTCTGTGTGGGAAGTTTGGTCCAATTCTATTGTTGGTGTGGTTCCTAATGCTCTTTGATTGTAAGTAAACTATAAATCCCAGCAACTACAACTCCAAATTTCAAGGCCTATTTTCCCCAAACTCCACCAGTGTTCACATTTGGGCATATTGAGTATTCGTGCCAAGTTTGGTCCAGATCCATCATTGTTTGAGTCCACAGTGCTCTCTGGGTGTAGGTGAACTACAACTCCCAAACTCAAGGTCAATGCCCACAAAACCCTTCCAGTATTTTCTGTTGGTCGTGGGAGTTCTGTGTTCCAAATTTGGTTCGATACCATCATTGGAGTTCAGAATGCTCTTTGATTGTAGGTGAACTACAAATCCCAGCAACTACAACTCCCAAATAACAAAATGAATCCCCCCCCCCAACCCCACCAGTATTCAAATTTGGGCGTATCACGTATTTGTGCCAAATTTGGTCCAGTGAAGGAAAATACATCAGGCATATCAGGTATTTACATTATTATTCCTAACAGTAGCAAAATTAGAGTTATGAAGTAGCAATGAAAATAATGTGGTGGTGGGGGTCAGCACAACACGAGGAACTGTATTAAGGGGTCGCGGCATGAGGAAGGTTGAGAAACACTGCAATAGAAGAAATATGGACACAGATTGGGCAACCACCCCTCCAACAAACAGAGACCGCACGGACCCTCACCACATTCTCCTGGGCTTCCATATCAACTCTTCCGGGACTCTCCTTTAGCCTGCAGTTTGGATTAAAACCCAGAGCAGCCTCACCAGCCCCTCCTCTGGGGTCCCACCTACCTGTTGCCGTGGTGACCACGTCGGCCTCCTCCTGCTGGGGTTTCCGTGATGAAGGCAGAGAGGGCATCCCCTCGGCGTGCATGATGGCGCTGACCCCGTACCCGGCCGCGGGGCTGCGGAGGGAGGCAATGAACCACTTCCCATCCAGGGAGCGGGGACAGCCCTCTTGGCCCCCGAGGCCGGACGCCCAGGAGACGTGGGACTCCTGCGGGATGTACGGGTTCACCTCGCAGGATGCTTCCCCCATGGGGGCCCCTCCCTCTTCCTCCTCATCCTCCTCCTCCGCCTGGGGACTGGGGCCGGGCTGTTGCCAGAAGGGCTTGGGGATGTCACCCCCAATGCTTCCTACTCCTCCGAGGCCGCCGCCTTTGCTCCATAATGTTCCCGAAGGGTCTGCGAGGAGAAAGGAAGAGAGAAGGAGTTAGGCCGGGAAGAGACTGGGAGGAAGCAGGGAGGGGCCCTACACCCCACCAGTGAGGGCGCTGGGGGTCCCCAGGGGGCATCTAGACCATCCCTTGACCCTCAGGGACCCTCTGTCATGACTCTTTCAAGGTTGGGCCATCAACACAACGTGAGACATACATCTCTTGCGTTGTGAACTATAGAGTGATGTATCAGGTTTTAGAGACAGGAATTGTCAGGATTATTGAAAGTATGCATGTATGTTTTTTCAATGTGCTTAACAATGGTGTTCATATGTATTCAAGATGGATTCAGTTATGTTCAATTGTATGCTGGAATTGTTGTTGTGTGAGACAGAGGGGTAGAGAAAGAAGAGACCTTGGCAGAAGTAAGATAACACGTTCTCTCTGTCTGGGAAGAATTAGGGAGTAGCTGGCTTACAGCCAAAGTGAAACTGATAAGCAGATGTTCTGTAACCTTACTATAGTTGTGCTTTGTAGTTCCTGATTAAGCTCGCTTGGAAGTAGACGTGTATTAAGATGTGCTAAGTAAACTTTAGGTTCTTGTGGGTTTTTTCGGGCTATAGAGCCATGTTCTAGAGGCATTTCTCCTGACGTTTCGCCTGCATCTATGGCAAGCATCCTCAGAGGTACCTCTGAGGATGCTTGCCATAGATGCAGGCGAAACGTCAGGAGAAATGCCTCTAGAACATGGCTCTATAGCCCGAAAAAACCCACAAGAACCTAGTGATTCCAGCCATGAAAGCCTTCGACAATACATTAAGTAAACTTTGTTATTTTCTGAAACTGGCAGACTGCAGTGTCCTATTTTGTGTCTGTGGGATCTAGTAACCTCATCTCCGCTGCGCGTAGACCCCAGGGTCTCACTCTGACAGGAATCAAAGTCCTGGGGACACCAGAGAAGACCTGGGAAAGTGACCCTTTCACCACCGATGGCTCTGGGGACGAGGGCCTGGGAGGCAGGGTGAGGGGGCTGCGTGTCTTCCTTTCCCCACAGGACCTTTTGAAACTCTTGTCACTGGGTCAATGGCTCCGTCCTGGGATCAAAACACCTTGAAAAGTTTTGTAATAAAGAGCCGCCATGCCATCAGGGCCAGGTGCCTTACTGTTAGGAAGATTTTTAATGGCTAGCCGGATCTCTTCTTCCAAGATCAGAGGGTTGAGTATTTCCCTTTGTGCTTCTGTAATTTTTTCAAGCTTCAGTTTTGTTATGTAGCTTATGATGTCCTCTATTTTATTTTGATCTTTTTGATATAATTCTTTGTAAAATTCTTGTTTCCCGTCGTCTTCGCCCGTTGTAAAGGCGTCACCCTCCTTTGTGATTTGGGTTCTGTATTCTTGTTGCCTTCTTTTCTCCAATTTCCTGGCTAGCCATTTGCCCCGTATAGTTGTGTTTGAAAAATAGCTTACTCTTAAACACTTCAAATTCTTGGTCTATTTGGGTTGCGTTTATTTGTTTCTTAATTCTATTTCTATTTTTTTATACCACTGGGTTTTTTTTTAATTGATCTTCTTTATATTGTCGAAGGCAATATAAATAATAAGCTGTGTCTCAAATAATACACTGGACACAGCAATTATTTGAGAACACAGAAATGCTGGACCACTCTCACAACCACCATGTCAGGCTACACAGAGAAGCCATTGACATCCACAAGGAGCACGTGGGGAATTTCCACAGAAAGGAGGAAACCATGAAAATGAACAAAATCTGGCTACCAGTATTAAAAAAACTCTAAAAAAAACTCTAAAATTACAACAGCAAACCCTGTTAGCTTCTCTATCAGTGGAATAGAATCATAGAATCATACAGTGGGAGGAGACTTAATGGGCCATCAAGTCCAATCCCCTCCCAAGAAGCAGGAAATTTGCCTTCAAAGCACCCCCGACAGATGGCCATCCAACCTCTGTTTAAAGGCTTCCAAAGAAGGAGCTACACTCTGGGGCAGAGAGTTCCACTGCTGAACAGCTCTCACAGTCAGGAAGTTCTTCCTAATGTTCAGGTGGAATCTCCTTTCTTGTAGTTTGAAGCCATTGTTCTGCGTCCTAGTCTCCAGGGCAAGCAGAAAACAAGCTTGCTCCCTCCTCCCTGTGGCTTCCTCTCACATATTTATACATGGCTATCATATCTCCTCTCAGCCTTCTCTTCTTCAGGCTAAACATGCCCAGCTCCTTAAGCCGCTCCTCATAGGGCTTGTTCTCCAGACCTTTTATCATTTTAGTCGCCCTCCTCTGGACACATTCCAGCTTGTCAATATCTCTCTTGAATTGTGGTGCCCAGAATTGGACACAATATTCCAGATGTGGTCTAACCAAAAGCGGAATAGAGGGGTAGCATGACTTCCCTGGATCTAGACACTAGGCTCCTCTTGATGCAGGCCAAAATCCCATTGGCTTTTTTTGCCGCCACATCACATTCCTGGCTCATGTTCCCCTTCCTCCCCACGAGGACTCCAAGATCTTTTCCACACGTCCTGCTCTCGAGCCAGGCCTCATCGTCCCCCATTCTGTCTCTGCATTTCGTTTTTCCTGTCAAAGTGGAGTGTCTTGCATTTGTCCCTGTTGAACTTCATTTTGTTAGTTTTGGCCCATCATCTCTCTAATCTGTCAAGGGCGTCCCAACTCGTTTCCATTTCTATCTCCTTGTTATTGTTAAGCTCAAAGTATTATTTCAAGAGCTTCCTATTTTTCCAATGGCTCAGTCCTGGAAGTCTTCCTCTTTTCTATCGACTGAATGATCCTGCATTTGGGTGTTTGGGGGGGGGGCGGTGGTGATCCATAGGGTTAGTTATAAAAGGCACCCCACCTCATAGCCCCTATGCCCTCCAAGGTACCCCCCCCCCCCCCGTTTGCACCCACCAATGACGTGGAAGGCCATCCCGGGCTGGACTTGGGGGGTCAGCAGGGCCTCCATCTGGCCCCGGTCAAGCTTTGCTCCTTCTCTTCCCGGGGGGGCCAGGAAGAGGAGGGCCGGGCTCTGCTGGAGGGAGCTGGGCATCACGGAGCCCCCTCTGGACCCCTCCTCCACGAACCAGCAGCTCAAGGGGGTCACCGAGGAAGGTGGGGAGGGGGAGGCGGCTGCTCCACTCAGGATGAGGCCTCCTGCAGAACGGAAAGAAAGGAAGGAAAGGGTCAATGAGAGAGGGAGGGGGTCACCCTCCATACTGCCCCCCCCCCAATAATGCTCACCAGAGATTGCAAAGCCATGACTTTAGTAACACTCACCTATGGGTCAATCATTAAGCTATCGTTACCAATTTTATTGTGTCAGAAGTGAATAGAGAATATACAGGAGAGTCTCGCTTATCCGACATAAACGGTCTGGTAGAACATCAGATAAACGAAAATGTCGGATAATAGGGAGTCTCCTACTGTTACTCGTCCAACATCGTTGGTGATGTTCAGAATGCTCTTTGATTTAAGTGAATTATAAATCCCTGCAACTACAACTCCAATGTCAAGGTCTACTTTTCCCAAACTCCACCAGTGTTCACATTTGGGCATATTGAGTATCTGTGCCAAATTTGGTCCAGTCCATCCTTGTTTGAGTCCACAGTGCTCTCTGGATGGAGGTGAACTACAACTCCCAAACTCAAGGTCAATGCCCACCAAACCCTTCCAGTATTTTCTGTTGGTCGTGGGAGTTTTGTGTGCCAAGTTTGGTTCAATTTCATTGTTGGTGGGGTTCAGAAGGCTCTTTGATTTTGTATGAACTATACATCCCAGAAACCCTCAATTATCAAGGTCTATTTTCCCCAAACTCCACCAGTGCCCACATTTGGGCATATTGAGGATTCAAGTTTGGTCCAGATCCATCCTTGTTTGAACCCACAGTGCTCTCTGGATGGAGGTGCACTACAACTCCCAAACTCAAGGTCAATGCCCACCAAACCCTTCCAGTATTTTCTGTTGGTCGTGGGAGTTTTGTGTGCCAAGTTTGGTTCAATTTCATTGTTGGTGGGGTTCAGAATCCTCTTTGATTTTGTATGAACTATACATCCCAGAAACCCTCAATTATCAAGGTCTATTTTCCCCAAACTCCACCAGTGCCCACATTTGGGCATGTTGAGGATTCAAGTTTGGTCCAGATCCATCCTTGTTTGAACCCACAGTGCTCTCTGGATGGAGGTGCACTACAACTCCCAAACTCAAGGTCAATGCCCACCAAACCCTTCCAGTATTTTCTGTTGGTCGTGGGAGTTTTGTGTGCCAAGTTTGGTTCAATTTCATTGTTGGTGGGGTTCAGAATCCTCTTTGATTTTATATGAACTAAAAATCCCAGAAACAACAACTCTCAATTATCAAGGTCTATTTTCCCCAAACTCCACCAGTGTCCACATTTGGGCATGTTGAGGATTCAAGTTTGGTCCAGATCCATCCTTGTTTGAACCCACAGTGCTCTCTGGATGGAGGTGCACTACAATTCCCAAACTCAAGGTCAATGCCCACCAAACCCTTCTGGTACTTGGTCGTGGGAGTTCTGTGTGCCAAGTTGGGTTCAATTCCATCGTTGTGCCTACATTGTGGAATGAACCCAGTTTGGGGCCAGTGGGCCCAGTGGTGTGGGAGCCAAACTACATCCCTTTTGAAGGTGGTCAGTTGAAACATTCCCACCTAGCTCCAGCAGACAAGAATCCTTTGTCCCACCCTGGTCGTCATATATAAACCCTTTTTCCTCGTTCCAACAGACCTCACTACCTCTGAGGATATATGTCATGTCTTCCTGCTTGTGGGTAAACTGTACTTCTTGTTGTTTCTTTCCCAGTGTGGATGTGGAGAGTGTCTGGGTTGCCCACCCTGGAACATGCAACGTATCATAGTCCTTCTTTAAGGGTCCCTTTCAAATCTATGAGACTATATCTGTGTGTGTTTGAGAGAATCATATCTATCTATATTTATGGCTGGATGGGTCTCTGTCAGGAGGGCTTTGATTACGTTTTCTTGCCCTGGTGAAGAGGGGAGCTGGACTGGATGGCCTTAAGTATTTTCTGTTGGTCATGGGGGTTCAGTGTGGGAAGTTTCCCCCCATTCTGTCGTTGGTGGGGTTCAGAATGCTCTTGGATTGCAGGTGAACTGTGAATCCCAGTGACTACAACTCCCAAATGTCAAGGTCTATTTCCTCCAAACTCCATCTGTGTTCCTATTTAGGCATATGGAATTTTGGGTCAAGTTTGGTCCAGATCCATCATTGTTTGAGTCCACAGTGCTCTCTGGATGTGGGTGAACTATAATTCCCAAACTCAAGGTCCAAGCCCACCAAACCCTTCCAGTTTTTTTCTGTTGGTCATGGGAGTTCTGTGTGCTAGGATTGGCCCAATTCTATCATTGGTGGGGTTCAGAATGCTCTTTGATTGTTGTTGTTGTTCATTCGTTCAGTCGTCTCCGACTCTTCGTGACCTCATGGACCAGCCCACGCCAGAGCTCCCTGTCGGCCGTTACCACCCCCAGCTCCCTCAAGGTCAGTCCAGTCCCTTCAAGGATGCCATCCATCCATCTTGCCCTTGGTCGGCCCCTCTTCCTTTTGCCTTCCACTTTCCCCAGCGTAATTCCCTTCTCTAGGCTTTGCTGTCTCCTCATGATGTGGCATTCAAAGGACTTCCACTTTGTCTCTAGTATCTTTCCCTCCAGTGAGCAGTCGGGCTTTATTTCCTGGAGGATGGACTGGTTGGATCTTCTCGCAGTCCAAGGCACTCTCACAACTTTCTTTGATTGTAGGTGAACTATAAATCCCAGCAACTACAACTCCCGAATGTCAAGATTCTATTTTCCCCAAACTCCATCTGTGTTCACATTTGGGCATATTGAGGATTCTTGTAGAGTTTGGTCCAGATCCATCCTTGTTTGAGTCCACAATGATCTCTGGATGTAGGTGAACTACAACTCCAAAACCAAAGGACATTCCCACCAAACCCTTCCAGTATTTTCTGTTGGTTGTGGGAGAACTGTGTGCCAAGTTTGGTTTGATCCCATCATTGGTGGAGTTCAGAATGCTCTTTGATTGTAGGTGAACTATATATCCCAGCAACTCCAACTCCCAAATGACAAAACCATAATTTTTGGTCACTCCTTGTGTTGTGAGAGGTTTTGTTGCCAAATTTGGTGTGATTTCGTTCATTGGTTCTTTTGTTTTTAAGGAGCTCATTATGCAGAGAACATTTATAGATAGATAAGAAGAACAGAAGGAAGAAAGAAAGAAAGAAGAAGATGGTGATGAGATCATGATAGGAATAAACGTAACAGTCTAAATAATGTACCAGGAAGGCCTTCTCGCGGACCACCATGGGAATTTGGGGGGGGGGGGGCGCTGAAGCCCCCCAAGCTCCCCCACCCCGGCTACATGCCCTCGAGTGGGAAGAAGAGAGGGGGGCATCACCCAGTATTCTAACCCCATTCTGCCAAGGAGGAGGAGGAGGAGGAGGGGGAGGCTCAGGGCAATGGCAAGCCACTCGAGGGTCCAAGCCCCCTCCCCACCTCCCCCCCAAAAAGGGCGAAGTGGCCAAAGGAACCCAGAGAGACGCGTGTCTGTCTCGTGCGAAGGCCCGACAATAGGGAGCGAAAGCGAAAGGGAGGCCGGCGGGGGGATTCCCGAAGGTGACCGTGGACACACGGCCTTGGGGGCGTCTGCGGACAACGCCGGCTCTTCCTGAGACGCTTAGGCATGGAGATGAGCCCCAGGGGGACAGAGTCAGGGGGAAACCTGGACCTTGGCCTTGAACGTTCCCCAAGGAAGCCCCCTCCCTCCTCCCGCCCATCTCCCCCCCCCCCGGGAAGCCCACTCACCCAGCAGGAGGAGGAGGGGGCTAGCAAGAGTCATGGCGGGGCTCTTTTGGGAAGCAAAGAAGGGTCTCTCCTTTTCTCTCTCTCTTTCTCTCTCGCTTCTCTCCTTCCTTCCTTCTTTCTTCTTTCGCTTTCACCTTCAGGACATTTGGGGGGGGGGCGTGCCCCTGAGCGCGTGCAGAGCGCAAAGGCCCCGCCTCTTTGGGGAGGGGGGGGAGTGGGGAGGCACCAAGGGGCCCTCAAAGTCCCCCAAACTATGGTCGGAAGGAAGGGCGGGCGGGGTCGGCTTGGGGGGTGCTTGCCCTGCCGGGGAAAGTAGAAGCGGGTGGGGCTCGATGGCCACGCGTGGGGTCTCTTCCCACGCCAGGATTCCCACCCACCAGGAGTGGGGGCTCCTTCCGCCTGTAGCCCCCCACCCCATCTAGCAGCAGTCCTTTCTCTCCTCGAAATAGAAGGGAGTGGGAGTGGGTGGCCACGCGTGGGGTCTCCTCCCACGCTAGGATTCCCACCCACCAGAAGTGGGGGCTCCTTCCACCTGCAGCCCCCCCCCCTCCCAGCAGCAGCCCTTTCCCTGATCGGAATAGAAGGGAGTAGGATTGGATGGCCACGCGTGGGGTCTCTTCCCTTGGCCCCCACCCCACCCCCCTGCCTGGCACAGGGTTTCTCCCCCTGGGGGTCCGGAGCCCTGCTGGGGGGCATTCAGAGGGGTCGCCAAACACAGCTGAGCTTAGGAACCCTTTGGGCAGAGAAGAGTGAAGGTCTCTCCGCCTGCCCTTCTCCGCCTTTTAGGTGTGGGTGAACTACAACTCCCAGAATTCAAAAACAGCACACCCCCCCCCCAACTCAACCTCACCAGTATTCAGTGTTGGCCAGGTAGGTAGTCTGCCAAGTTTGGTGCCAATCTATTCCAGGCTGGGTTCACTCTTTGATTGTAGGCGAACTATAAATCCCAGCAACTACAACTCCCAAATGTCAAGGTCTGTTTCCCCCAAACTCCACCAATGTTCATATTTGGCCATGCTGAGTATTCAAGCCAGGTTTGGCCCAGAACACACATTATTTGAGTCCACAGTGCTCTCTGGATGGAGGTGAACTACAACTCCAAAGCTCAAGGTCAATGCCCACCAAACTTTTCCAGTGTTTTCTGTTGGTCGTGGGAGTTCGATGCATCAAGTTTGGTTCAATTCCATCGTTGGTGGAGTTCGGAATACTCTTTGATTGTAGGTGAACTATAAATCCCAGCAACTACAACTCCCAAATGTCAAAGTCCGTTTTCCCCAAACTCCACCAATGTCCACATTTGCTATGCTATGGGAAAGGACTATGGGCAGGCTTCTGGTTGTGTTGTTGTCCTGCCACGTGGTCATCTTATCTGGTGGAGCCCCCCCCCCCCCCGTGGTGGTGCAGCGGGTCAAACCCTTGTGCCCGCAGGACGGATGACCAACAGGCCAGCGGTTTGAATCCAGGGAGCATGGGTGGAGCTCCCTCTGTCAGCTCCAGCTCCCCATTCTGCAGGGACACAAGAGAAGCCTCCCACAAGGACGGGAAAACAACCAGGCGACATCCTTGCAGACAGGCCATTCTCTTACTCCAGAAGCAACTTGAAGGGAAAAAAAGCCTCACAGTGAGGGCCAAGCCCACTGGCCCCATGGGCAGGGAAGAGGGTTCCTGTGCATAAGAGGAGGCGCCTCTGGGTCGCAGTAAGTTGCTTTCTGGGCTGCCTGGCCAAGATGTCCCAGCAGCACTCTCTCCTGACGTTTCTCCCATGCCTCAGAGGTTGAGAGGTCTGTTGGAAACTAGGAAAATTGAGTTTTTATATATATATATATATCTCCCCCTGTGGAATGATGTCTGCAGATATATAAACAACCAGGGTCATCTCACCACCTCCCAATAAAGGATTCCCCCCCAGGCAGGAATCAGCCAGGCTTTGAAGTTGCAAGGCCATTCAAGGCTAACCAAGGTGGCTAATGGCCACGTTCCCACTTGCCTCCAACAGACAAGAGTTCTTTCTCCCACTTGACAAAGGATTCCCCCCCAGGCAGGAATCAGCCAGGCTTTGAAGCTGCAAGGCCATTCAGTGCTTACCAAGGTGGCTAATGGCCACGTTCCCACTTGCCTCCAACAGACAAGAGTTCTTTCTCCCATAATATAATATAATATAATAAGTATATGTATGTAAATATATAACCCCTTGTGCCCTAGAGAATGAGAGGGAAGGCTCTGTTTGGGACTACAGCTCCCAGAACCCTCTTGGGCTCCTAAGCCTGTGCTGGGGCTTGTAGTTCCCTCTTGAACACTTCCCAGGGTGCTTTGCGGGGAGCGGGCTCCTCTTATGCAAATCCGCCCCCTCCTCCCTGTGTTTTGGCACTGGCGTCTCCTGCCCGTGGGCGGGGCGAGTGACGCAGGAGGAGGGGCGGGGCCAGTGACGCGGAGGGGCGTGGCTTCTGGCCCAGTGGGCGGGGCCCGAGAAGGAGAAGGTAGGCAGGGCAGGCTGGGTGCTTTTGTGGGGGGGCTTGGGGGCCATGCTGAGCCCAGCGGGAAGGCGCATGCGCGGAGGAGGGGCTGCTGCTGCTGCTGGTGGTGTAAGTGGGGGTGTGGGTGGTAAAGAGCTCCCCAACCCCCTTCTTCTCCCCTTGGGCCTTGGAAGCAGAGGCTGGAGGGAGGGAGGGCCATCTGGAGGGAGGGATTGAGTGGTGCCCTCTTCGAGAGCAGGAGGGAAATGGGCTGGGCAGGGGGCCCTTCCCCCTGGAGGGAATATGGGCGTCCCCTGGAGGTCCCTAAGCAGGGGCTGGGTGACCATCTGCAGGGAGGGATCTGCTTGTGCCAAAATACACATTATTACTGTTATTACTATTACCAGCCCCAGAAAAAAGTAAATGCAATTGCACAGTATTTATTCATTCTTCTTCCTCTGGCATATATTATTATTTCCAGCCCCAGAAAAAGTAAATACAAGTGCATCTTATTTATTAGTTATTACCATTCTTGCATATGTTATTATTTCTATATTATAGTATTTCCCACCCCAGAAAAAGTAAATACAAGTGCATGTTGGTTATTAATTATTATTCTCCTTGCATATATTATTGTTATATTATATGAACAGTTGCATCTTATTTATTAATTATTATCCTGCTTGCATATTATTTATTAATTATTATTCTCCTTGCATATATTATTGTTATATTATATGAACAGTTGCATCTTATTTATTAATTATTATCCTGCTTGCATATATTATTGTTATATTATATTATTACCAGACCCAGAAAAAGTAAATACAAGTGCATATTATTTCATAATTCTTCTTCTTTATGCATATACTATTTCCAGCCCCAGAAAAAATAAATACAATTGCATCTTATTTATTAGTTATTACCATTCTTGCATATATTATTATTTCTATATTATAGTATTTCCCACCCCAGAAAAAGTAAATACAAGTGCATATTGGTTATTAATTATTATTCTCCTTGCATATATTATTGTTATATTATTACCAGTACCAGAAAAAGTAAATACAATTGCATATTATTTCTTAATTATTGCCATTCTTGCATATATTATTATTATTATTATTATTATTATTATTATTATTATTATTATTATTATTAAGCTGAGACTGGATGGCTGTCTGTTGGGAGGGCTTGGGTGGTGTCTTCCTATATCGCAGGAGAGGGTTGGACTGGATGACCTTTAGGGTCCCTTCCAATGCTAGGATTCAATGATGATGATGATGATGCATCTGTGGGGAGGGATCAGGTTGTGCCTTCCTTGGTGGCAGAAGCGGGTGGGACCAGATGGCCCTCTTTGGGGTCTCTAGTAAGTCTAGGATTCTGTTATCATCATCATCATCATCACCATCATCAAGCAGAGGCTGGGTGGCCATCTGTCAGGAGGACTTGGGTAATGTCTTCCAATAGTGCAGAAGGGGGTTGGACTAGATGGCCTTTGGGGGTCCCTTCCAATGCTAGTTGTTGTTGTTGTTGTTGTTATTAAGCTGAGACTGGATAGCCGTCTGTCGGGAGGGCTTGGGTGGTGGCTTCCTATATTGCAGAAGGGGGTTGGACTAGATGGCCTTTGGGGGTACCTTCCAATGGTAGTTGTTGTTGTTGTTATTATTATTATTATTATTATTATTATTACTGTATTATTATTAAGCAGAGGCTGGATGGCCGTCTGTTGGGAGGTCTTGGGTGGTGGCATCCTATATTGCAGAAGAGGGTTGGACTAGATGGCCTTTGGGGGTCCCTTCCAATGGTAGTAGTAATTGTTGTTATTATTATTATTACTGTATTATTATTATTAAGCAGAGGCTGGATGGCTGTCTGTCAGGAGGGCTTGGGTGATGTCTTCCTATATCACAGAAGGAGGTTGGAATAGATGGCCTTTGGGGGTCTCTTCCAATGTTAGGATTCGGTGATGATGGTGCAGTGGTTGTTATTGTTGTTGTTATTATTATTATTATTATTATTATTATTATTATGCATCTGTGGGGAGGGATCGGGTTGTGTCTTCCCTGGTGGCAGAAGCAGGTGGGATGGGATGGCCCTCTTTGGGGTCCAGGATTCCATCATCATCATCATCATCATCATCATCATCACCATGAAGCAGAGGCTGGGTGGCCACCTGCCTGGCGTTGTGCCTTCCTTGATGGCAGAAGGGGGGTGGGACTGGATGGCCTCTGGGGTCCCCTTCCAAGGCTGGGCTGCTCTTCTTGCAGGTGCTGCTCCTCTCCCTTCTGCTGATGGTCCCTGCCTTCCGGTCGGCCTCCCTGCGCTTCCTGTCTGCCTTCTCCTCCTCCTTGGTCTCCATGGCAGCTGCCTCTGGATCCTCCTCCTCCTCTTACGCCCCCGGGACCCTCTCCGCCGCCTTCGTCACCTGCCCCAACCAGAGCGTCGCCAAGGACATCGCCAGGTCAGGCCGGGGGGGGGGGGGTCTCCACATAAGCCAAGAGTGTCATGCAGCAGCTCGAAAGGCCAATGCAATTCCAACACAAAGTCATCCAAGGAGGGGGCACCCGCAAATAGGATGCTAGGCTCCCCTGAAATTAGGGCCACTCAAGCCAAGTTGAGCAAGCGACCAGTGGAACCCCCTGCTGCAAGAGACGGCTCATTGGGACAATGACACAAACATCACAGAAGAGGGGGCCTTGGGAGGGAGCACTATAGATCCACCATGTATTAACTTATAGCCACCTAGAGGCTCGTTTTAAGAGGAAAAAGTGTTCAGCAGTGGAACTCTCTGCCCTGGAGTGTGGTGGAGGCTCCTTCTTCAGAGGCTTTTAAAGAGGCTGGATGACCATCTGTCAGGGGTGTTTTGAATGCGATTTTCCTGCTTCTTGGCAGAATGGGGTTGGACTGGATGATGGCCCACCAGGTCTCTTCCAACTCTTTGATTCTAGGTATAATAATAATAATAATAATAATAATAATAATAATAATAATAATAATAATAACAAAACAACAACAACAACAATAACAAAAATAATAACAATATCATTGTATATATTATGCTGTACTCTGCCTTGAGCCATGAAGAGAAGCAAGATAATAATAATAATAATAATAATAATAATAATAATAATAATAATAAGTGGATCTTGTAAAATTGCCCATCTGGACCTGGTGCTTTGCCTAATTCCCTCTCTACAATCTCCGCCATGACAGTCGTTGTTATTATTCTGCATGCTCCCCTTGGCCCCAATGGAAATCTGCAAAACAACAACAGTGATTAAAATAATAACAACAGTGTAGGTGGCTTCAGGGAGCTTTGAGACCATTGAATTAGTTCGAACTGCCAAGGCCGCATGCTGTGGAATCATTTGGGGAGGCAGTAATACCCTTTGGGAAAGACCTTGTGAAACTACAACTCCCATTGCATTCATTCCCAGTGTAGACTACTCTTTCCTTCCTTCCTTCGCTGCAGGGCGGTGGTGGAGAAGCACTTGGCGGCCTGCGTCAACATCATCCCCCAGATCACCTCCATGTGAGTGGCCCCCTTTCCCTTTCCCTTTCTGTGGGGAGGGGGCTTGGCTGGAAGGCAGCAGGCCTGGCTTGTGTTGGCCCCCTCCCACAATTCCTCCCCTTTCTCTCTTTCGCAGCTACGAGTGGAAAGGGAAGATCGAGGAGGACTCCGAAGTGCTGCTGGTGAGAGCAGGGTGGGCTGGGTGGCCTTTGGGGGTCTCTTCCAACTCTAGGGGCCGACAGGAAGTGAGGCCAGGGGCGGACCCTGTTTGCAGAGGGGCAAGAGGACATTCTGACGGGTACTCCAGGAATTATTTACTACTTCATCGTAATATTGAATGGAGAATTCATCAATTGCAAGATTATTTCAGTGAGGAAAGTGTTACTAAAAGTATTGTTGTTGTTGTGTGTGTTTACATCCAATTTTTTTTCTCTATCAAATGAGACAAGTAAATACATTTTATTTAAAATGTTGCAATCTAAAAGCATTGCTCTTGGGTTTGTTTCCCCTCTTGAATAAACACTTTTTAAAGAGGAAGGGTCCCCCAGGGGCCATCTAGACCCACCCCCCCCCCCTTCACTGCCTCTGGATGGAGATGCAGGTGACGCTTTCCTCCTCTGAATGCACCATTTGGTTCCAGCTCAGCCCTATATGTGTGGCACTGAGGGTTGGGGAGGGAATAAATGGGGAGGGGATACATCTCTGTGTGCGGCCCTTTGGGGCTCAGGGCTGCCCCTCTGCTCCCCTTCCTTCCTCCAGATGATCAAGACCCGCAGCTCCCGTGTCTCTGCCTTGGCCGAGTTTGTCCGGTGAGTCCTTGCAAAGGGGGCTGCTTATATATGTGGGCCACACCCTATATATATATATGTGGGGGGGGGGGGGTCCGATGAAGCCAACCCCTTCCGATCCATTTTGCCTTGTAGGTCGGTCCACCCGTACGAAGTGGCGGAAGTCATCGCGGTCCCGATCCAGCAGGGAAACCCTCCCTATTTAAAGTGGGTCGAAGAGACAGTGCCAGAGGAGGGGCCAAAGTGAAGCAGGCCTTTTGATCCCCCTTCCCCCCCGTATACCCCCAAATGATCCCCAAGGAAAGTCCTGGCACTGGAATAAATATTACTAAAAGGGCAGAAGGTTCAGGCTCTGCATGTGGTCCCCCTCCGTCTCCCAGACCTTGGACACAAGTTACTTTTTTGGGGGCACAGCTCCCAGAATCCTCCTGGGGAATGTCACTACAACTCCCAGGATCCTCCAGCAAGGCCTCCCACCTCACAATGAAGAGATCATGAAAGATGTTATGCCATTGTCCATCCATCCGGACCAGGAGCTTTGCCCGATTTCATCTCTATAACCTCTGCCATAACAACCGTGTATTACTCGCCTCTCCTTCTTGTTCAAGGCAAAGTACAACTGGGTTAAAACAGAGAGTTGATGACCCCCCAGGGCTGAAACAGATCAACCCATACTTAACCCTTAATTGAATGTAAATGTTTACGCATCAGATTGTTGCCTATCTGTAAGCTACCTTGAGTCCCCCCCCCCCCCTTGGGGTTGAGAAAGACGGGATACAAATACCGTAAATAAATCAATACATCCTTTGCTTTCTGTTGTGAAGTCTTGTATTTCTAGGTATTGTTTTCCAAACTCGTCTTCAGGAGACCCTGGAACTTTGTAAAGTGATGCGGAGCCAGGAGCCCACTTTCGGAGGGGATTCTGGGAGTTATGGGGAAGTTCTCCAAGTTGGAGGAGTGAGAAGTTCTGTGGATTGAGTGCTTCTACACCAAAAGGTTCCCAACCTTTTTTTGCCCAGGGACCACTCTCCAACATTAGTACCAAAGGGTTATGAATCGGTTTATGGTCAACTTAGATTCGATTTGGTTATTTGGGGTGCTGATTCAGAAAACCACATTGGATAGACCACATCAGCTCTAGTTTCTGATACATAACATATGCCATCCAGTAGTTGCCACCTGCTCGCCCACAGGAAACCATGTTTAATAACCTAGAGCTGGGGTGGTTGTAGTCATCTTTGGTGGGTAGTCAGCCTCTCACATCCGGACGTCACAGTTGCCTCGGCACTACAAGAGTGTTTCACGTGGTTTTGAGGCAACAATGTAGTAATGGTGAGGCCACGGGCCATATTTTTGTTCTTGCGGACCATTGGTGGTCCATGGACCACAGGTTGGGAACTATACTGCAATGCACTCTACATGGGGTTGCCCTTGAAGACTGTCCAGAAGCTTCAAATGGTCCAATGGGTGGCAACCAGGTTGCTCACTGGAGCGGCGCTCAGAGAGTATATAACTCCTCTATTGCGCCAGTTCTACTGGCTGCCAGTCTGCTCCTGGGCACAATTCAAAGTGCTGGCTTTAGACAATTCTAAACAATTCTGGCCCAACTTACCTGTCCGAACGCATCTCCCCTTACGAACCCATTGAGGACTTTAAGATGGTCTGAGGAGGGCCTGCCCTCGTCACAAGCACGGCTGGCAGGGAGGAGAGGCAGGGCCTTCTCAGTGGTGGCCCCTTGGATATGGAACGCTCTCCCTAAGGATATCAGATTGGCCCCCTCCATTTTGACCTTTCGAAAAAGAGTCAAGGCTTGGCTTTTTGAGCAGGCTTTTGCAAATACTGTGTAACGGACATAGGAAAACGGAATGGTTGACGACATGACTGGACAATGTTTTAACAAGGGGACCCTAACGAATATGTGTTTTTAATTAACTTTGCTATGGTTTTATATTCTCTGATTGCTTTTATAGTATTGAAATTGTATTTTATGGTCTTGGTACCCTCTGTACACCGCCCCCAAGTCGCCTGCGGGCTGAGAAGGACGGTATACAAATATAGTAAATAAGTAAATAAATACTGATCTACACTGTGGAATGAATGTGGTTTGGCCCCACTTGTAACTGTCATGGCCCCATGCTATGGAAGCCCAGGAATTACAGATTGGAGAGGCTGCGGAGGCCAAAGACCTTGAGAAACTACAACTGGCTTGGCATAAATTAACATTAGCAGTGCCACCAGGCACATCCCGCTCGTTAATTCTAGTGTGGATGCAGCCCACGCATCCTTTTCAGAGGTGGTGGTCCCGACCCAGTTGCCACGCAAGGAGCGACCGCATTTCTGTGTCTCTTACTTTCTATTTTTAAGCTCTTTTTATTTGCAGTTTTTGTACAGAGTCAGTCCAGCAGCAGCAGCAGCAACGGCGGTGCAAAGGCAGCAGCTACGAAATGCGGATGCAGGCTAAATGGGGGCGAGGGAGGAGGAGGAGGGGCGGGACCCCCTTCCCCCCCCCCCCCCCCCCCGCCTCTTAAATATAACCTAATGAACCTTTAGAAAATAAACCTAAATCAAAACTCTTGTGCAAAGATTCCCCCCCGAAAGTCTGGACGGGGCAAAACAAAGTGTCGCTGGTGAAAAGGGGGCTTCTCCTCCTCTTCCTCGTCTCCTCCTCTTCTTCCTCCCCTGCTAGGAAGCTCCACACCTCGGATTCTTTTCCTTTTTCCTCGTGAGAGGAAAGGAAGCGGCTCATAGTCCGTGGCCTTCTCAAGGTGGTGCCCGTGTCCAGAGTCATTTCCTATGATGCTCCGTGCACGGGTTTCCCCGCCCTCTCCTCTGTCTCCCCGCGTTCCGGCCGGGAGTCCATTCTGTCTCCAGGAGCGCTTCCTCCTCCTCCTCTTCCTCCTCTTCCATTTCGTTCTGGAGCGCAGTCAGCCCTGCGAGCAATGGTATTTCCTCTCCCATTTCGTTCTGGAATGCAGTGGGAACTCCAAGGGATGGCTGGCGCTTCCTTCGTTCCGGAATGCAGTCAGAACTGCAGACAACACCCCTATCTCTCCGTCTTCATCCTCCTTCCCCCCTCAAAGCCGAGGGTCTAGAACATGCCCCCTCCGTCCCACTCCACCAAATACTGGACGGTGCCCTCAGTGGTCACCCTCCGGGCCAGGATGCGCACGGCCTCCCCGCGTGCCAGGCGCCCCATGGCCCCGAAGTAGCTGCTGGTAGAGGAGGATGAAGAGGAAGACGGGGCCGCAGAGGAGGAAGATGAAGAAGAAGAGGGAGGGGGTGCCGGTGGTGGTGGAAGAGGGGGCGGGGGCTGAGGGGGGTGTCGCTTGGGGGTTGTGCGCGGGGGAGGGAAGGCGCTGGGGGGACGCCGCTCAGGAGGGCTCTCGGGGGCCGCTGAGGAAGAGGAAGAGCCGGGCGCAAGTGTTGCTGCATCAGAAGGATCCAAGGAGATACCACTGCTGCTGCTGCTACCACCATTGCTGTTTGTGCTGCAAGAAGAAAGGGGAGACCATGAGACCATGACCCCAAAGGACAGCTTCTCAACCCCCCCAATTTTGAACGGTCAAGAGAGCAACACTTGGACCCCGCTCCCATTAGCTGGGGTGCATCTACACTATAGGATGAACAAAGTTTGACACTCCTTCAGCTGCTGTGGCTGAACGGTATGGAGTCCTGGGAAATGTAGTTTTAGGAGACACTAGCCAGTTGCCCACCTGAGATGAGGAAATCCCTGTAGGATGGGAAGCATAAGGTCAAACCAAAGGAGAGGGACGCCTGCAGTGGATGGGTGGCTTAAGAAAACCTTTATGGCAGTGGTTCTCAACCTGAGGGTCGCAACCCCCTGGGGGGTCGCTTGGCCATTTTGGAGGGGTCGCAAGGCTGCCTCCTTTGGCCCTGCCCCCTCTGCAAAATGGCTTACCACAGGGCCCAGGCTCTGTCTGGGAGCCTGGGTTTGCCGTGCCCGCACCTCACACCAGGCTCAGCGGTGGCATGAGCCGGGCAAAACCCTCCTCACAGGGCCCAGCCCCTGCCTGGGAGCCTGGTTGCCCAGCGCGTGCCACACACCGGGCTCGGCGATGGCATGAGCCAGACAAACCTGGGTCTCCTGACTCGCACCTCCACCACTATGTGAGCAGGCACGGGAGGGCTTTCCATCTCCCTCCCAGGAGTGGAGGGGGGGGGCTCTGGGCCTGTAGGAGCAGCTGCAGCCCAGCAGCACCCCAAAGGAGGATGATGGAAGGCTCTCCTGCGCCTGCAAATGCCTCCTGGGCCGCCGCTGTGTGTGCAGTCACAGTAGGGCTTGAGCCACGGTGGCGTTTGTAGGTGCCTCCTAGGCGATAGCCGTGGCGCGAAGGAGAATACAAGCAGCTCCAAAATGCTAAGATCTGTTATCCCCACACCCTCCCGGTATTCTCTGTTGCTTATGGGACTTCTCTGTACCAAATTTAGTTCAATTGCAAAGTTTGTATATGACATGTATTAAGAAGATAGAAATATTATACAGGAAAGCGGGAGAGAAAGAATGTAATAATAATATAGTAAGAAGACGGCACTTGAGAAGTGAGTGAAGATGAGGGGAAGTCGGTTTTAACCAGGGGGGGAGGAATGGGGAGGGGGAGGGCAAGAGCGGGAGGGGTCTTTTGGTATGACACACATCGGTATATGTATAAGCTTAGTACGATGTCTTGTTTGAAGGTATTGTTACGTCTTGTCATACTGTTTGTCTTGTCCCATGTCCTCACATGTACTTCGTTTTATGTTTTGTATTAATGCAAAATCAATAAAAATTTATATAAATAATTGCAAAGTTTGGGCCAGGTCTGTAAATTGTGGGGGTCTCAGTAGTCTGTGGCAGTCATAGCTGAATCGTCTGAAGGTACTGCAGATCCCATCATCCATTGTCCATACTCCTCCAAACACATTGTTTTTGTGATTAATCGCTATGCTTTAATTATGTTCAATTTGTAACAATGAAAATACATCCTGCAGATCAGATATTTACATTACGATTCATAACAGTAGCAAAATTACAGTTATAAAGTAGCAACGAAAATAATTTTATGGTTGGGGGTCACTACAACATGAGGAACCATATTTAGGGGTCACGGCATTAGAAAGGTTGAGAACCACTGCATTATGGGGAGATGGCTGGATCTTTGGGGGGCGGTGTTGGGCCCCCAACATGCACACACACACATACACACTCATGCCCTCCTACTCACCTCAAGGTCCCTGCAGTGTTGGCCGAGGGATGGAAGGAGGCGAACATCCGGATTGAGGCGCTGCAAGGAGATGGAGAAAGAGGGGCAGAGGGTCAAAGCGGGGAGGGGGTCATTGGGGAGAGAGAGGAAGGATTTCCGAGAGGCTGTGGCAAAACCTGACATGGGATCAATGATTTCTTCCAATTATTTCAACTATAGGATCCTGTGTGGGGCGTCTCATGTTCATGGTGGTGACATTGCAGATTATAAAGGAAAACCTAGGACCAGGGGCTGGATCTGAAGGATGCGTATTTTCACACGCCAATGAACAGGGGTCTCTCCAGTTCCATTCTGCAGGGAGGCCTTTCTCAGTTCAGGGCACTCCCTATGGCAGTGGTTCTCAACCTGGGTCCCCAGATGTTTTGGGTCTTCAACTTCCAGCTGGTAAACTGGATGGGATTTCTGGGAGTTGGAGGCCAAAAACATCTGGGGACCCCAGGTTCAGAACCATTGCCTTATGGTCTTAATTTAAAGAGGAGAGTAATTGCATTTATGTCGACAATATTCTCCTGGTCACAGAGTCCATAGTTAAATGAAAGAAGATTCTGGAGGAAAGGATAAGTGGCTTTGCAGGAGGCAAGCAACCTGAGGGCGCCCTCACCTGTCCTGGCAGCGGGCATCCGTGCGGCGGAAGTTGTAGGTGCTGGAGGGGCCGCCCTCGTTGCCCCCATTACCGCCGCCGCTGTGGCCCTGGCTAGTGCTGGCCGGGGTCGGGGCCACCTCCTGTGGGAAACGCAGAGCATGACATGACCAAACGGATGGTAGCAAGGCCCTAGGCCATAACACAAACCTGGGTCTGAGCCCATAGATCCCCTCCCTTACTTTGAGGTGCGCCCCACAACCTTCCCTCCCAACCAACCCTTGAGGACCCCTTTTTCTCTCTTCCCCATTGGATCACCTGGGCAGGGGCTTCTTGTGGCGGCCCCTTCTCCTGGATGCTGCTGCTGCTCTCCTTGTCCTTGTCCTTGTGCCGCTGCCTGCTGCTCCTCCGCCTGCTTTGCTGCTGCTGCTGCCTCTGTGCCCCCCGGAGGCCCCTCTGCGGCCCCTTCCCCCGCCTGCCCTGCCCTGAAAGGAACCTGTAAGAGACCCTCCTTATCTGCACAGCATGGAGGGGGGCGGTGGGGTCGGACCCCTGGGACACTCCCCTCCATCCCATACCGGGGACCCCAATGGGGCAGAAGGGAGGGGCATCCGAGGTAGAGTTAGGGGTCTCCCTTCCTCACCTGTCCTCTGAAATGAGGGGTAGCCCTCCGTCCGTGACATGGGGGGCCGGTGGGGGGACCCTCGAGTGCAGCCCAAAGAGCCCTTTGCGCTTCTTGATCTCCTTCCCAGAAATGAATCTGCTCCAACAGAGAAGAAAAACACAAGGGGGGGGGAGAGGTCTTAGTTTCAGGGGGCCCAGGTTATAGGATGGGGTCTCTCTTTGGGAGATATGATAATCATATTATTTATTTATTTATTTCGTGTACTTCTATCCCGCCCTTCTCAATCCCCGAGGGGGGACTCAGGGCGGCTTACAAAAAGCCGCCATAAACAATAATCATAAGTAAACAGGATTGACCCTTGGCCCTCCATGGATCTGAAGGATGCGTACCTTCACATGCCAATCAACAGGGGTGTCTCCAGTTTCAGTGCCCACATATATGTCTTAATGACGATTTTAAAGCCCTCTTTAAAAGAAATCTCTAGTTTCTGTGTAAGGCCTGCAATTTTGTGCAACCAAAAAAATCCCATTCCCTTATTGAAGGCCAACTGAGAAATAACCAAATCTACAAATGTTAAGCCCTGAAAAACTAGAGTTTTATTTCTGTTTTCCTATACAATGCACTCCCAGTTAACTGGAACTCCCAAGCAACCAGAAAAGGAATCAAACTAGTGAAAGTTTTAACGGCACTCTCAGAGCTTTTTTTATAATACAGTGAAACTTACGTTCTGATAAATTAAGTTAATCTTTGTTGGTCTTCGTTTGTTTTTAATGACTGTGTTTTGACATGAATATCAAGTCAACACAGAATTTGTGGTATGATGGGATCTAGAATGTGTAAGGCCTACTTTTCACTCTCAAGTAACCCTAAAGTCAATTTATCCAGGGTCTACCTATTCCCGTTATTGTCATCACCATTATAAGTCGCTCAGCACTAAGATCACCTTATTACACAAATGTAATGCACCCCTGAATTGTGAGGGGGTCATTTGGCCATAAAAAGGTGAGCATTAGATTTGAGTAAATACGGTATTATCGCTATCATCATCTCTGTTGATATCCTCCCTTCTTTCTCTCAGTGGGGATTCCAGGTGGCTAACAAACAAACAAACAAACATCCCCAATAATAATGTAACCATATATCAGAATCAAAGTAAAAGAAACAAACATGGGTGGGTGGAAACAAAAGTCAAGATACCATCAAAATACAAGACAATTGTTGGAGTTCAGCCTGTGATTGTGTTTCAGGATCAGGGTGCTTTGGATGTGGGAAGTGATGCCAATGAATTTCAAGATGGCAGTGGTCTGGTCAATGATACTGATGCAGAGAAGGACCAGGAGACCCCTGTGCAAAGTGTAGTTTCTCATGAGAATGTCCCTGAAGGATGATGGGATGATGGTGCAATCCCTGAATTGATATCAGAGGGTTCCCAGGATTTGGGGCTTGAAAACAACAGGGCACCTGGCCCAGTTGCAAGACTTAATGAGCAAATAGATAGGCGAGAGGAAATGAGTCAAAACAGACAGGCCGAATAGTGCCTTTGGCGTTCTGCCAGGCTCTGACAGAAAAAGATAAGGGGATCTCAAGTAAAGTGAAACCAATTCCTGAGTGTGTGGAATAGCTTAATGAGGGGATAAAAGTTCCAAGTATGGGAAATATAGTCAGATGAAGCATCGTTGAAATCAGGTGTAGTTCTCGTCCTTGTTTCACGGGAGCTTTGCTTGGAAGATTCTTGTCCAAGTGTTTCTTGTTCATGGTTTGGACTCTTGGAATGTATGAATGTGACTCATGCCTTGGATTAATATTTCCTGTCTTCCTGCATTATATTAGAGAAGTGTGGACTTTGTTTTTATGGACTTTGCTGAACTTTACCTTGGACTATTTTTGCTCCTGCTTATCTTCTTACCTAATTGGATTTACCTATTCCTTTAAACTGCTTTTTACTTGCTGCTTTTTAATTATCTTCAATAAATGGATTGTTTTCCAATCAACGGTGTGATGTTTACAGTCAGAGGGCTTTTCCTGTCCTGGAGTGCAACAACCATGTTCAACCCCCCCTTTAAGGTAATTAAAGATGTTAAATTAGTGAACTGCTGACTCTGGAGTCATGGGAGAGGACGCCTTCTTACAGCTCACAGAGGAAGTGAGTGGCATGCGCATGTGTGTGAGTGTGGTATGCATTGGGGGGGGGGGGCGGTGTCCTACCTGTCCTTGTGCCCGGTCAGAGCGTTCAGGAGCTGGCTGTAGCGCTCCCCTTTTGGGGTGTCTGAGAGCTGGGAAAGAGGGAGAAAGAAGAGTCAGGAAGAGGGGGGGAGGGGACCCCCAAGCCACCCTCACAGTCCAGGGAGCGAAGGGGGGGACAGCACATGGCCCCCAACCGCCCTCCGAAGGGAGGCTGACCTCTCCGAGGAGGAGGCTGTCCCAGTTCTCGCTGGCGAAGGGCAGGATCTCCCGCTCAAAGTCAAAGTACTTCTTCTTGCAGCAGATGCTCAGGTGGTACAGGATCAGGTGTGCTACATCCACCCTGCAAAGGGGCCACACGGGTCAAAGGTCGGCCTCTCTCCTGAATGAATGCCTGCCCTTCCTTCCTTCCTTCCTTCCTTCCTTCCTTCCTTCCTTCCTTCCTTCCTTCCTTTCCCTTCCTTCCTTCCTTCCTTCCTTCCCTTTTATTCCTTCTTTCCATCTCACCTGACATACTCTTTTTTTGAATGATTGCCACCTGGCAGGCAGTACAGGGTGACAAAGACAAGGACAAATATACTAAGGGACAGCTTTTATCCTAGAGCCGTAAGTATATGGAACTCCATGGCTTCGCATTGATGTGGCTTTGGGTGTGTTGATTTGTGGTCTGTGCAGGGGAAAGCATTTAATTTTGTTGTACAATGTGCCATGACAATACAGCTATTCTATTCCTTCCTTCCTTCCTCCCTCCCTCTTCTTCTTCCTCCTCCTTTGCTTGCTTTCTTCCTATTTGTTTTAGTTCCTCCCTCCCTCTTTCTTCTTCCTCCTTCTTCCTTTCCTTCCTTCCTATTTCTTTTTGTTCCTTTCTTTTTCCTCCTTCTTTCCTTCCTTCTTTTTCTTCCTTCTTCTTTCCCTTTCTTCTTCCTTCTTTCCTTCCTTCCTGTTTCTTATTCTTCCTTCTTTCCTCCCTCTTTCTTCTTCCTTTCCTTCCTTCCTATTTCTTTTTGTTCCTTACTTTTTCCCTTTCTTTTTCCTTTTCCTTCCTTCTTTTTCTTCCTTCTTCCTTCTTTCCTTCCTTCCTGTTTCTTATTCTTCCTTCTTTCCTCCCTCTTTCTTCTTCCTTTCCTTCCTTCCTATTTCTTTTTGTTCCTTACTTTTTCCCTTTCTTTTTCCTCCTTCTTTCCTTCCTTCTTTTTCTTCCTTCTTCTTTCCCTTTCTTCTTCCTTCTTTCCTCCCTCTTTCTTCTTCCTTTCCTCCCTTCCTATTTCTTTTTCTTCCTTCCTTTTCCCTTTCTTCTTCATAGAATCATAGAATCCTAGAATCATAGAGTTGAGAGACCTCCTGGGCCATCCAGTCCAACCCCCTGCCAAGAAGCAGGAATATGGCATTCAAATCACCCCTGACAGATGGCCATCCAGCCTCTGTTTAAAAGCTTCCAAAGAAGGAGCCTCCTCCTTCTTTCCTTCCTTCCTGTTTCTTTTTCTTCCTTCTTTCTTTCCTCCCTCTTTCTTCTTCCTTTCCTTCCTATTTCTTTTTCTCTTTCTTCTCCTTCTTTCCTTCCCTCCCTCCCTCTACCTTTTTCCTTCTTCCTCCTCCCTCTTTCCTTATTTTCACTTGATTTTTTTCAGATTATTATTATTATTATTATTATTATACTGACACAAAAACACAGTATGTCACAGCAAACGAGATCTATATGCTGCATTTCATATCACAAAACCACAAGTCGAACACTTCCCAAGCGTCTAGGACTGTGTGATGTATTACACATCATTATTATTATATTTATTTATTTATTTACTTACTTATTTACTATATATATATATATATATACTATCCCTCTCAGCCCACAGGCGACTCGGGATGGTTTACAGTTGGTGCCAAGACCATAAAATATTATTATTATTATTATTATTATTATTATTATTATTATTATTATTATTGACAGATTAAAACAGCATCATCAACAACAACAACAAAATACTTTTTCTAGGCTAATACTACTACATCCTAAACATAAAAAATAGTAACTACAAACGATCTATGTTATCTAATGTAAGGGCTTTACCTTCTCTGTCTGGTGGTTCTATTTCCTCAGTTGTTTACACCCATTTAGTGAGAAAGAACCATTGGCATATCTTTTCCACGCATGCCTTCCTTCCTTCCTTCCTTCCTTCCTTCCTTCCTTCCTTCCTTCCTTCCTTCCTTCCTTCCTTCCTTTTTGAGGGTGCTGCTGCACCGCAGAATGGAAACAGGCTGGCTCCACTTTGTCTGCTGTGGCTCAAGGCGATGGGATCCTGGGAGTTGTAGTTTCCCAATGCCTTTAGCTTCCCTCTCTGAAAGAGTGATGGGGCCTCCCAAAACTACAAATCCCAGGATACTGTCACCTTGAGCCACAGCAGGCGTCAAAACTGGATTCATTCTGTAATACTGATGCACCCACTGATATAGAGTATATTGACCCTCTGAATGTGAAAAGTATTTATCATTGGAAGGCGCTGAACAGACTGCGCTCTGGCCCCACGAGATGCAGAGCCAACCTCAAGAAATGGGGCCACAAAGTGGAATAATCCACGACATGCGAGTGTGGAGAAGAGCAAATCACTGACCGGAATCACTAGGTTCTTGTGGGTTTTTTCGGGCTATAGAGCCATGTTCTAGAGGCATTTCTCCTGACATTTCGCCTGCATCTATGGCAAGCATCCTCAGAGGTGTGAGGTCTGTTGGAATTAGGACAATGGGTTTATATATCTGTGGAATGGCTGGGGTGGGGCAAGGAGCTCTTCCCTGCTGCAGTTAGGTGTGAATGTTTAGCTGATCACCTTCATTAGCATTTGAAGGCTTGCCTGAGCCTGGGAAAATCTGTTGCTGGGAGGTGTTAATCTGTGCCTGGTTTTTTCCTCTCTGTTGTTTAGCTGTTGTAATTTTAGAGTTTTTTAATACTGGTAGCCAGATTTTGTTCATTTTCATGGTCTCTTCCTTTCTGTTGAAATTGTCCACATGCTTCTTGTGGATTTCAATGGCTTCTCTGTGTAGTCTGACATGGTGGTTGTTGGAGTGGTCCAGCATTTCTGTGTTCTCAATAATCTGCTGTGTCCAGGTTGGTTCATCAGGTGCTCTGCTATGGCTGACTTCTCTGGTTGAAGTAGTCTGCAGTGCCTTTCATGTTCCTTGATTCGTGTCTGGGCAATGCTGCGTTTGGTGGTCCCTCTGGAGACTTCTTGTCCACAGCTGCCTGGTATACAATGGTAGACTCCTGCAGAGGTGAGAGGATCCCTCTTGTCCTTTGCTGAACGGAGCATTTCTTGGATGTTCTTGGTGGGTCTGGAGATTGTTTGTATGTTGTGTTTCCTCATCAGCTTCCCTATGCAATCAGTGGTTCCCTTGATGTCTGGCAGGAACACATTTCCTCTGGGTGGATCTTGCTCTTTACTCTCGTGGCTTGTTCTTGGTCTTGCAGCTCTTCTGATGTCTGAGGTGAAATTGACACACAGATAGATATCTACATAAAAACTCCAACCATCACCCAAGTCAAAAAAGAAGCCCCATTCAAGCCTTGGCAGACCGTGCAAAAAGAATCTGCGAAGCCCACCTCCTCCAAGATGGACTGAACCCCCTCAACTGGGCTCTCCAGGCCAAGGGAGACTCCACCTCAGGCATCAGAAGAGCTGCAAGACCACCGAGAAGAAGCCACAAGAGTCAAGATGAAGATCCACCCAGAGGAAAAGTGTTCCTGCCAGACATCAAGGGAACCACTGACCGCATAGGGAAGCTGATGAGGAAACACAACATACAAACAATCTACAAACCCACCAAGAAAATCCAACCAATGCTCCGTTCAGCAAAGGACAAGAGGGATCCTCTCACCTCTGCAGGAGTCTACCATTGTATACCATGCAGCTGTGGACAAGAAGTCTCCATAGGGACCACCAAACGCAGCAGCATTGCCCAGACACGAATGAAGGAACAGGAAAGGCACTGCAGACTCCTTCAACCAGAGAAGTCAGCCAGAGCAGAGCACCTGAGGAACCAGCCTGGACACAGCAGATTATTTGAGAACACAGAAATGCTGGACCACACCAACAACCACCATGTCAGACTACACAGAGAAGCCATTGAAATCCACAAGCATGTGGACAATTTCAACAGAAAGGAAGAGACCATGAAAATGAACAAAATCTGGCTACCAGTATTAAAAAACTCTACAATTACAACAGCAAAACAGCAGAGAGGAAACAACCAGGCACATCTTAACACCTCTCAACAAAAGATTTTCCCAGGCTCAGGCAGGCCTTCAAATGCTAATGAAGGTGATCAGCTGAAACATTCACACCTAACTGCACAGGGAAGAGCTCCTTGCCCCACCCCGGTCATTCCACAGATATATAAACCCATTGTCCTAATTCCAACAGACCTCACTACCTCTGAGGATGCTTGCCATAGATGCAGGCGAAACGTCAGGAGAAATGCCTCTAGAACATGGCCCTATAGCCCGAAAAAACCCACAAGAACCTAGTAAATCACTGACCACCTGCTGCAATGCAACCTGAGCCCTTCTGCCACATGATGCACAAGGGAGGACCTTCTTCTTGCGGCAACACCAGAGGCACTCCAAGGGGCCGGAGACTGGTCAAAGGACATTTCATCCACTACCAAGCTTGCAAACTCTGTGTCTTTTACTAGGTTCTTGTGGGTTTTTTCGGGCTATAGAGCCATGTTCTAGAGGCATTTCTCCTGGCGTTTCGCCTGCATCTATGGCAAGCATCCTCAGAGGTAGTGAGGTCTGTTGGATATATATCTGTGGAATGGCTGGGGTGGGGCAAAGAGCTTTTCTCTTCTAGAGCTAGGTGGGAATGTTTCAACTAACCACCATGTCAGACTACACAGAGAAGCCATTGAAATCCACAAGCATGTTTACAATTTCAACAGAAAGGAGGAAACAATGAAAATGAACAAAATCTGGCTTCCAGTATTAAAAAATCTCTAAAATTACAACAGAGAGGAAACAATCAAGGACATCCCTCTCAACAAAAGATTTCCCAGGCTCAGCCAGGCCTTCAAATGCTAATGAAGGTGGTCAGTTGAAACATTCACACCTAGCTCCAGCAGAGAAGAGCTCTTTGTCCCACCCCAGCCATTCCACAGATATATAAACCCATTGTCCTAATTCCAACAGACCTCACTCCCTCTGAGGATGCTTGCCATAGATGCAGGCGAAACGTCAGGAGAAATGCCCCTAGAACATGGTTCTATAGCCCGAAAAAACCCACAAGAACCGAGTGATTCCAGCCATGAAAGCCTTTGACAGTACATCTGTGTCTTTTGTCTGTTTGTTTGCTGTTAGAAATGTAATATAAATGACTGGTTGCCCTGACATGACAAATAAATAATCAAACTTGTTGAGCAGCCAAACAATGTTTTCCAGTCAATGGAACAGTATTATTAATCCGTTCTAATGATTAGTCTGTTGGTTGCTGACATTATTGCAATTAATTATGACTGTTATTGGAAAGGAGGCTGCGCCTGCCCCACGGAGGAGGAAGGCCGGGACTCAATGGAGCCACGCAGGAGAAGAGATCCCACCAAAACACCAGGAAGACCACCTTCCTGTCCCACGGGGGAATATGCTGCTGCTTCTGGGGCAGCCACTGGAGTCTCCTCCCATGGGGGTCTCCAAACTGAGGCTGGGTGGCCATCTGACGGGAGGGTTTTGACTATGCAGAAAGAAGGGGGCTGGACTGGGTGACCTTTGGAGGGCCCTCCAGACTCTAGTATCCCATGGTTCTGTTGCATAATAATAATAATAATAATAATAATAATAATAATAATTTATATTCTGCTCTATCTCCCCAAAAGGACTCAGGGTGGACATAAAGGCCCGCTCTCTACCTGGCACCCCAGGGAAGTCACTCACTCACTCACTCCCTCACTCACTCACCATCGGAGGGGCAGCCGCAGGACACTCTCAGGGCCCCCCCGGCAGACGCAGCACTCAAAGACGTAGAACCTGCACAGAAAAGGAAGGGAAGGGGGGGGGGGGGTCACTGGCCTCTGATTGCTGACTCTGGAAAGGGGGGGGGGTCTGTGAAGGTTGGCAGGTCCACCTTTGCCCCTCCCTCCCTCCCTCCCTCACTCCCTCCCTCCCCAGGACCCCCAGCGCCCCAAGGTGTCCCCTGTGCCCCACTGACCGGTCCCCATAGAGGAGGGGCTTGCTCAGGCACTGGGTGCAGGCTTCGTGGAACCACTGGGAGCACTGGGAGCACTGCAGCATCTTCAGGTTCCACCTGGGCATCCGGGGGGGGGGGGGGGGGGGAGAAAGAGAAGATTATTATCATTATTATTATTATTATTATTAGTCTTCTGGCATCGAAATCCCCAATGGAGTTAAGGGCCAATTCAGAGTCCATTGCATTCTAATGCTTTTGCACACAGTCATTTGTCTGCAAGGCTTTGCAAAAATACACCACTTTTGTTAAAATGGCAAGCCCGTGAGATATTCATCTCATGATCCCAATGGTTCTCCACCTGAGTCCCTCTATGGAGGTGAGAAGATCAGGATATAAATGTTATAAATAAATAAATAAATAAATAAAAATTTTGGCCTACAACTCCCTGAAATCCCAGCCAGTTTGCCAGCGGTTAGGATTTCTGGGAGTGGAAGGCCAAAACATCTGGAGGGACACAGGCTGAGAACCACTGCATTATGCAATATCTACACACACACATGTATATAAAATATACATACATACACACACATAAATCCACATACGTATATATACTATACACGCACACATAAATATATGTACATATACATATATACTATACACACCCATATCTACAAAATATACAGATGCACACACACATAAATGCACATATGTATACATACTATACACGCACACATAAATATATGTACACATATACATATATACTATACACACCCATATCTACAAAATATACAGATGCACACACACATAAATCCACCTAAGTATACATACTATACACGCACACATAAATATACGTACACATATACATATATACTATGCACACACAAACACACATCTATATCTACAAAATATACATATACACACACACATAAATCCACATATACATACTATACACACACACATAAATATATGTACACATATACATATATACTATACACACCCATATCTACAAAATATACAGATGCACACACACATAAATCCACCTAAGTATACATACTATACACGCACACATAAATATATGTACACATATACATATATACTATACACACCCATATCTACAAAATATACAGATGCACACACACATAAATCCACCTAAGTATACATACTATACACGCACACATAAATATATGTACACATATACATATATACTATACACACCCATATCTACAAAATATACAGATACACACACACATAAATCCACCTAAGTATACATACTATACACGCACACATAAATATATGTACACATATACATATATACTATACACACCCATATCTACAAAATATACAGATACACACACACATAAATCCACCTAAGTATACATACTATACACGCACACATAAATATATGTACACATATACATATATACTATACACACCCATATCTACAAAATATACAGATACACACACACATAAATCCACCTAAGTATACATACTATACACGCACACATAAATATATGTACACATATACATATATACTATACACACCCATATCTACAAAATATACAGATGCACACACACATAAATCCACCTAAGTATACATACTATACACGCACACATAAATATATGTACACATATACATATATACTATACACACCCATATCTACAAAATATACAGATACACACACACATAAATCCACCTAAGTATACATACTATACACGCACACATAAATATATGTACACATATACATATATACTATACACACCCATATCTACAAAATATACAGATGCACACACACATAAATCCACCTAAGTATACATACTATACACGCACACATAAATATACATGCAAATATACATATATACTATGCACACAAACACACACCTATATCTACAAAATATACATATACACACACACACAAATCCACATATACATACTATACACGCACACATAAATATACGTTTGTTGTTGTTCAATCGTTCAGTTGTTTCCGACTCTTCATGACATCATGGACTAGTCCATGAAGAGTCAAATATATGTACATATATACATATATACTATGCACACACACAAAAACACACCCATATCTACAAAATATACATACACACACACACAAATCCACATACATATACATACTATAAACACACACATAAATATACGTACATATATACATATATACACTCACACACACATATATATATATACAAAATATACATATATACACACACACATAAATCCGCAATATATACATACTATACATGCACACAAAAATATACGTACATATATACATATATACTATGCACACAAACACACACCCATATCTACAAAATATACATATGCACACACACACATAAATCCAAATATGTATATATACTATATACGCACACATAAATATGCATACATATATACTATACACAAACGCAAACACACACACACACATATATATAACCAAAACACACACTTCAATTAGAAATAATTATAATAATAATATATTGTAGTATTTATTTACACACACACACATAACCAAAACACTTGAAATAATAATAATAATAATAATAATAATAATAATGTGTTGTAGTATTTATTTACACACACACACATAACCAAAACACTTGAAATAATAATAATAATAATAATAATAATGTGTTGTAGTATTTATTTACACACACACACATAACCAAAAGACTTGAAATAATAATAATAATAATAATAATAATAATAATAATAATAATAATGTGTTGTAGTATTTATTTACACCCCACTTCCTTCTCTTGGAGTCTCGTTTCAGAGAAGTCAATAGGATAGATCATCATCATCACCATCACCATCATCATCCTCTGTCTCTACGTTGTTTCTTGGTCTCCCAAGGGAGAGTCCAAGTGGGCGGCTGACACCACAATTTATGCCATACACACACTGAGATGGAACTAAATGGGGGGGGGGGGGGCTTTGGAGAACCTGTTAAGACCACCTGGCATGCAGTGCCCCCTGCCTCTGGCATAATGGAGCAGCTCACCACATTACAAATAGGGAAATGGGGGAGGTCTAGATAGGGGGAACCCCCCCCCCCAATACCAGGAGAGCGGTGTCTCTGCCCCACCCCCCACCCCCATCATGGGACTGCAAGGGCCCCCCAAGAACCCCACAAATAGGCCTCCCTTGCCTTGTATAGAGGGGGGGTGGTGTTGTGTGTGTGTTTGTGTGTGTGTGTACTCACTCTCCGGGCCCCCCGCAATAGCAGTAGCACTGCTGCCGGTTGGTGAGGTGGTCAGGGTCCCAGTCCAGGGCCTTCAGCTGGTAAGGGAGCACCAGCTTCATGCCCAGCATGGCCTTGGCGTAGGGGCCCTTCTTCAGCGCACCCCCACGCTGCAGAGTTCGGGGAGGGAGGGAGCGGATTGGGGAGGGAGGGAAGAAAGGAAAGGAAGGAAGGGAGAAGAGGAATAGAAGGAAGGAGGAGGAGAGAAGGAGGAGAGGAAAGGAAGAAGAAGGAAGAAAGAGAGAGGAAGGAAGGAAAGAAGATAGAGAGGAAGAAGAAAGGAAAGAGGAAGGAAAAAGGAAGGAGAGGGAGAAGAAAGAGGAAGAGGAAGAGAAGGAAGGAGGGAGGAAGGAGAGGGAAGAAAGAAGGAAGGAGAAAGAAGAGGAAGGAGGAGAAGGAAAGGGAGAGAGAAGAAGGAAGAAGAAAGGAAAGAGAAAGGAAGGAGGAGGAGGGAGAGAAAGAAGGAAGGAAAGAGAAGAGGGACGGGAGGGAGGAAAGGAAGGAGGAAAGAAGGAAGGAAAACAGGAAGAGAGGGAAGGAGGAAAGGAGGAAGGAAGGAAAGAAGGAAGGAAGGAATGTAGGGAGGGAGGAAGGGAGGGGAAAAAAGAAAGAGGGAAGGAGGGAAAAGGAGAGAGAGAGAGGAAGAGAAGAAGAAAGGAAGGAAGGAGAGAAGGAGGGAAGGAAAGAAGGAAAGGAAGATAGAGAAGCAAGGAAGGAGAGAAGGAAATAAAAAAGGAAAAGAGGAAAGGAAGGGAAGGAAGGAAGGGAGGGAGGGAGGAGGAAAAAGAGGAAGTTAGAATGTGTCTGCATCAAGTGGAAACCATACAATCCTAGAATTGGGACACCCAGCGGCCATCCAGCCCAATTGCATAGGTAAACTCCCCCCCCCCCCCCCCCCCCGCAATCCAAGCCCTCCTGACAGATAGCCCCCCACCCTCTGCCCAAAAGCCTCCAAAGAAGGAAAGGGGCTCTGCTAGACTCCTTGGCAGTCTACAATTCCAATAGAGTTGGGAAGGACCCACAGTCCAACCCCCTCCAGCCACAAAGGACGGCACCACCCAAGCCCTCCACACAGATGGCCATCCAGCCTCATGTTTTGTTCTCCTATCTGCCCCTTAGATCACCCTCCCAAGAACCATAGAGCTGGAAGGGCCCCCCAAGGGGATCACCCAGCCCAGCCCACTCTCTGCCAGGCAGGAGGACACCATGCAAGCCCTCCCCACAGATGGCCATCTGCTGCAAATTTCTGCAAAATATTCCAACCTGAAATTACCCCCAACCTAGCAATTCCATACAATGAGACACTGGTGAACAGAATCACCCCAGAGTTCTATAGCGTAGCCAAGAGGAGACCAACCCCAGCTCATGCAGACCCATATATAAAAAGCGGTATGGAACATATGTGTGCTGTGATCCGCCCTGAGTCCCCTTCCGGGTGAGAACGGCAGAATATAAATAAAGTGTTATTATTTATTATTAAGAGCTGCTCCCAGAGGGAAGAAGAAGAGCCGGTTGAATGAATGAGAGTGAGAGAGAGAGAGAGAGAGAGAGGAAAGGGGGCATCCCTACTTTGCGGAATTTCAGTTATCGCGTGATAAGTGAGGGCACCCTGTAAGCCCCCAGTCCTTGTCCCAAGTGTGAGAAGAGTCCAACTTGGGAGTCAATTTTTGTGAAGTTATCAAGGAATTATACAAAGACAATGAGGAAGAATTTCTGATCAATGACAATCATGGTCAATAACGGGGCCAATAACGGCACAATCATGATCAATAACGGGGCAAATAATGGGACAATCATAATCAATAACAGGGCCAATAATGGAACAATCATGATCAATAACGGGACCAATAATGGCACAATCATGATCAATAACGGGACCAATAACGGGACAATCATGATCAACAACGGGGCCAATAACGGGACAATCATGATCAACAATGACACCAATAACGGGACAATCATGATCAATAATGGGGCCAATAACGGGACAATCATGATCAACAACGGGACCAATAACGGGACAATCATGATCAACAATGACACCAATAATGGGACAATCATGATCAATAACGGGGCCAATAATGGGACAATCATGATCAACAATGACACCAATAACGGGACAATCATGATCAACAATGGGACCAATAACGGGACAATCATGATCAACAATGACACCAATAATGGGACAATCATGATCAACAATGACACCAATAACGGGACAATCATGATCAACAATGGGACCAATAACGGGACAATCATGATCAACAATGACACCAATAACGGGACAATCATGATCAACAATGACACCAATAATGGGACAATCATGATCAACAATGACACCAATAATGGGACAATCATGATCAACAATGGGACCAATAATGGGACAATTGTGATCAACAACGGGACCAATAATGGGACAATCATGATCAATAATGGGGCCAAACAGGGGTGATGCTCCCTTTCCCCCGTTCTCTTTGCACTGGCCGTAGAACCACGAGGAATGAGAGTAGAATCCAAGGAGAGTCAAGAGGCGAGGAAGCCATGAAGATGAATGTGTTTGCGGACGACGCGCTGGTTGCCCTGGCTCACCTTGGTGGCCACAGCGAAGACGCACTGGCGGCACATCCATGGGCCCTCGCTCAGCACCCGGGGCAAGTGGCACTCCTGGTGGAAGGCTGAGGAAAGGGGTAAGAGGGGTCACTCCAGGTCAACTCACGCCCCCAAAGGCCGCATCGCCCACCCACACCCCCAAAAGGAGACCCTCCCCTCGGTGGCACCAACGCAGGGCTGCCATGATCCATGACAGCTGTGGGGAATGACTCTAGGCACCACAGCAGCAGAACAATCAGGCATGGGCAAACTCCGGCCCTCCCACTGTTTTGGACTTCAACTCCCACAATTCCTAACAGCCTATTATTTGAGAACACAGCAATGCTGGCCTACTCTGTCCATTAGCATGTCAGATCATAGAATCATAGAATCAAAGAGTTGGAAGAGACCTCCTGGGCCATCATCCAGTCCAACCCCATTCTGCCAAGAAGCAGGAATATTGCACTCAAATCACCCCTGACAGATGGCCATCCAGCCTCTGCTTAAAAGCTTCCAAAGAAGGAGCCTCCCCCCCACACTCCGGGGCAGAGAGTTCCACTGCTGAACGGCTCTCACAGTCAGGAAGTTCTTCCTCATGTTCAGATGGAATCTCCTCTCTTGTAGTTTGAAGCCATTGTTCCATTGCGTCCTAGTCTCCAAGGAAGCAGAAAACAAGCTTGCTCCCTCCTCCTCCCTGTGGCTTCCACTCACATATTTATACATGGCTATCATATCTCCTCTCAGCCTTCTCTTCTTCAGGCTAAACATGCCCATCTCCTTAAGCCGCTCCTCATAGGGCTTGTTCTCCAGACCCTTGATCATTTTAGTCGCCCTCCTCTGGACACATTCCAGCTTGTCAATATCTCTCTTGAATTGTGGTGCCCAGAATTGGACACAATATTCCAGGTGTGGTCTGACCAAAGCGGAATAGAGCATGGGGAGCATTACTTCCCTGGATCTAGACACTATGCTCCTCTTGATGCAGGCCAAAATCCCATTGGCTTTTTTTGCCGCCACATCACATTGTTGGCTCATGTTTAACTTGTTGTCCACGAGGACTCCAAGATCTTTTTCACACGTACTGCTCTCGAGCCAGGCAGTCCCCCATTCTGTATCTTTGCATTTCGTTTTCCCTGCCAAAGTGGAGTATCTTGCATTTGTCACTGTTGAACTTCATTGTGTTAGTTTTGGCCATTCATCTCTCTAATCTGTCAAGATCCCTTTGAATCCTGCTCCTGTCCTCTGGAGTCTTGGCTCTCCCTCCCAATTTGGTCCCGTCTGCAAACTTGATGGTCCTGCCTTCTCGCCCTTCATCTTAGAGTCATGAATGAAGATCCTGATCAGGACCGGGCCCAGGTCGGAACCCTGGGCCCGGTCCTGTTCAACATCTTCATTCATGACTTAGATGGCACAAAGAAGCCACTGAAATCCCAAAGAAGCACACGGACAAATTGGGAGTATACAAGTCAAATAAATAATAAATAAATAATAAATAAAGGAGGAAACCTTTCTGCCGATTGTAGAAGGCTTCCATGGCCGGAATCACTGGGTTGTTGTAGTTTTTTCCGGGTTATATGGCCATGTTCTAGAGGCATTTTCTCCTGACGTTTCGCCTGCATCTATGGCAAGCATCCTCAGAGGAGAGTCAACAGGCGAGGAAGCCATGAAGATGAATTTATTTGCGGACGACGCAATGGTTGCCCTCGCTCACCTTGGTGGCCACGGCGAAGGATGCTTGCCACAGATGCAGGTGAAACGCCAGGAGAGAATGCCTCTAGAACAGTGGTTCTCAACCTGGGGACCCCAGATGTTTTTGGCCTACAACTCCCAGAAATCCCAGCCAGTTTATCAGCTGTTAGGATTTCTGGGAGTTGAAGGCCAAAAACATCTGGGGACCCCAGGTTGAGAACCACTGCTCTAGAACATGGCCATACAACCTGGAAAAACCTACAACAACCCACTTTCTGTTGATTACCAGTATTAAAAAAATACTAAAATCAAGACAGTAAACAAAGAACAACACTTAGAAAGAGAACTCCAGACTGCAAGTAATTAAGTGCTTGTTAACAGCCCCCCCCCCCCAGGGTGCCTCAAGGCAACAACGGCCAAGCCACCGCTGTGCAGATACCCTCACTGGTTGACTTTGGAGCTGCAAGGCTACTCAATGCTATTCAAGCTGGCTAATTGCAACATTCACACTTGCTTTAAACAGACAAGGCCTCTTTCTCCCAACTCAGACATTATTCCACAGGGGGGTGTGTGAGTGCGTGTGTGTATGTAAACACACACACACTCCACTTGACTCACTGCCAACCAAATCTCTGAGGATGGCAATCAGCCACAGATGCAGGCAAAACGTCAGGGGAGAATGCTGCTGGAACAGGCCAGACAGCCTGAAAAACTCACAGCAACCCAGTAATTCCAGGCACGGAAGCTTTTGCCAGCACAATAATAATTATTCTGAATGTCTTGCAGAACCAACGGCACCCTGGACTGCAGTGGAGTAGATGGGAAGGCCAAGGGCACCCCCCGCCCCCCCCCCACAGCCCCAATCCCTTGCTCCGCTTGACTGTCCACCCAGCTTGTCCTCTTCCACATCAGGGAGTTCCCCAGGGGAACATATACACCATATCCCCTCTATGCGGTTCCCAGGGCCGCCTTACTCACCGTGGCTGCATTTGGCGCACCTGACCAGCCGGTTTTCGGGCCCGGTGGCCTCGGAGTGGCAGACGCAGCAGGAGGCCTCCTCCCCAGGAAGGGCCGCTAGAAGGAGGGGTCAAGGAGGGGAAGGGTCAAGAGAGAGGCCAGAGGGAGTGAGCATGGCAGCAGCATCATCCCCCCCCCCCCAACAACAACAACAACAACAATGGGGAGTGATTAGTCCCCCCTTGTGCCCTGTGGTGGAGTTCAGGACCCCAGGACCCCTTATCTAAGCCCCTGCCCCAGTGGCCCATGAACTGATTAATTGGTTGATTGATTAATTGATTGGTGGCCCCCCTTATTTGACCCCTTCCCCTCCCTGAGGACCAGTCCCAGGCCAATAAAGGGAAGGACTGGACTTGCAGGGGGTGGAGGGGATTGACTGATTTTGTCTAATTTCTGTTAATAATAATATAATAATAATAATAATAATAATAATAATAATAATAGTTTTATTATTATTATTATAAAAGTAAAGGTTTTCCCTGACATGAAGCCCAGTCGTGTCCGACTCTGGGACTCGGCTGCTCATCTCCATTCCTAAGAGCCGGCGTTGTCCGTAGACACCTCCAAGGTCATGTGACCATTGGCATGACTGCATGAAGCGCCCTTACCTTCTTCCCACCGGAGAGGCACCTATTCATCTACTCACATTTGCATGTTTTTGGACTGCTAGGTTGGCAGAAGCATTTCCCTTATTTTACTCTATTATTATTATTACATTTATTATTTTTTTCTCTTTATTATCGTTGGAAGGATACGCAAACACATTTTCACCGAAGAAGGTTAGAATAATGATTTAATCAGAGTTGGACAGTCTTATCTCAAATGACACTTTAATATAAATACTCAAAAACATCAAATAATGTAATTTTATATCTAGGTTCTTGTGGGTTTTTCCGGGCTATATGGCCATGTTCTAGAGGCATTCTCTCCTGACGTTTCGCCTGCATCTATGGCAAGCTTCCTCAGAGGTCTGTTGGAACTGGGAAGAGGTTTATATCTCTGTGGAATAATGACCAGGGTGAGACAAAAGACTTTTGTAAGTTGGGCTGGGTGTGAATCTTCCAACTGACCACCTTGATTAGCATAGAATGGGCTGACTGTGCCTGGAGCAAACTCTTCCTGAAAGGTGATTAGATGTCCCTGCCTGTTTCCTCTCTGCTGTTTTGCTGTTGCAATTTTAGAATTTTTTTGTACAGGTAGCCAGATTTTGTTCATTTTCATGGTTTCTTCCTTTCTGTTGAAATTGTCCACATGCTTCTTGTGGATTTCAATGGCTTCTCTGTGTAGTCTGACATGGTGGTTGTGGGTGTGGTCCAGCATTTCTGTGTTCTCAAATAATATGCTGTGTCCAGGCTGGTTCCTCAGGTGCTCTGCTATGGCTGACTTCTCTGGTTGAAGGAGTCTGCAGTGCCTTTCATGTTCCTTGATGCGTGTCTGGGCAATGCTGCGTTTGGTGGTCCCTATGGAGACTTGTCCACAGCTGCATGGTACACAATGGTAGACTCCTGCAGAGGTGAGAGGATCCCTCTTGTCCTTTGCTGAACGGAGCATTTCTTGGATCTTCTTGGTGGGTCTGTAGATTGTTTGTATGTTGTGTTTCCTCATCAGCTTCCCTCTGCGGTCAGTGGTTCCCTTGATGTCTGGCAGGAACACTTTCCCTCTGGGTGGATCTTCATCTTGACTCTCGTGGCTTCTTCTCGGTGGTCTTGCAGCTCTTCTGATGTCTGAGGTGGAGTCTCCATTGGCCTGGAGAGCCCAGTTGAGGTGGTTCAGTTCATCTTGGAGGAAGAGGTGGGGTTCGCAGATTCTTTTTGCACTGTCTGCCAAGGCTTTAATGGTGCTTCTTTTTTGACCTGGGTGATGCTTGGAGTTTTTATGTAGGCATCTATCAGTGTGTGTACATTTTCTGTAAACTGAGTGACCCAATTGTTGATTTGGTTTGCAGATGACTAGGAACATTAAAAATAATAAAAAGGGTTTCACCTACATCTATGGCAAGTATCCTCCTACCTCTGAGGATGCTTGCCATAGATGCAGGCGAAACGTCAGGAGAAATGCCTCTAGAACATGGCCATACAGCCTAAAAACCCACAAGAACCTAGTGATTCCAGCCATGAAAGCCTTCGACAATACAATTTTAGATCTATTTTTATTTTGAGATTTTCCCCTTAGTGGCTGCATTTCCCACCCTCGGCTTATACTCGAGTCAATATATTTCCCCAGTTTTTTGTGGTAAAATCAGGTGCCTCGGCTTAGATTCGGGTCGGCCTATACTCGAGGATATACAGTATATTATATATACAAAATAATAATAATAATAATAATAATAATAATAATAATAATATTATAAGGGATCTCCATGGAAGGGCCAAGGATGCAAGGGAGGAAGAAGCAACAAGGATTTGTGTGTGTGTATCTATGTGTGTGTGAGTTGTAGTAACCACAGTCAGCGATGACGGTCACTTGGGGATATTGGGGGGGGGGGGGCAATGGGCTGAAGAAGAAGTCAACGTTGAAGAAGAGGAGGGGGCAAGTAGGCAGGGTTGGCTTTGTTGGGATTCCTCCCATGGAGGGGGATGGCTTGGGTGGGTGTGTGTGTGGGTGGGTGGGGTCTCCCCCCCCTCGGCCCCCCCCCCCCCCCCCCCCGCTCCCAGGCTGACCTGGGCTGATGTCCTTCCAGAGCACCAGGAACTGGGAGTCGTCCTCAAACTGGACCAGGCAGACCTGGCGCAAGGGGTCCACCTGCCAGAAGGAGAAGAAGAAGAGCAAGAAGGGGTCAAAGGGGTCTCCTGAGGTCAAAGGAAGGAAGCCCATCCAGGGAGAGAGGCTGACCTTCTTGATGGTGCCCAGGTAGAGCAGCCCGTCGGTCCACCTGGCCAGCACGTCCTGCCCCTCCCAGAAGCGGGGGCCCGTGGAGGGGGAGGGGGCGCAGGGGGAGGGGTGTGGGGCGGCCCCCCCTCCTGCGGGGCGCTTCCAGGGTCCGGAGGTCAGCCGGGTCAGGCGGGGGGGAGGAGGGGGGCCCGCCGGGGGGGCCACGGACCGGGCGCTGGGGGGCTCACTCGCCATCGCATCCTGTTCCCCTCCCCTGCAAGAGAAGAAGGAAAAGCGTGAGGAAGGAGACCCCCCTTCGCTGGGACCTCCCCCCACCCATATAGACAAAGAAGATAAGAGGGAAGGAAAAGGTGAGGAGGGAGACCCCACTGGCCGGGACCACCCCCCATACACACACACAGCACTCTATTTATGGGGGGGGGGCTGTCAAGGCATCCCTAAAGAAGATAAGAGGGAAGGAAAAGGTGAGGATGGAGACCCCACTGGCCGGGACCACCCCCCATACACACACACAGCACTCTATTTATGGGGGGGGGGCTGTCAAGGCATCCCTAAAGAAGATAAGAGGGAAGGAAAAGGTGAGGAGGGAGACCCCACTGGCCGGGACCACCCCCCATACACACACACAGCACTCTATTTATGGTGGGGGGCTGTCAAGGCATCCCTAAAGAAGATAAGAGGGAAGGAAAAGGTGAGGAGGGAGACCCCACTGGCCGGGACCACCCCCCATACACACACACAGCACTCTATTTATGGGGGGGGGGCTGTCAAGGCATCCCTAAAGAAGATAAGAGGGAAGGAAAAGGTGAGGAGGGAGACCCCACTGGCCGGGACCACCCCCCATACACACACACAGCACTCTATTTATGGTGGGGGGCTGTCAAGGCATCCCTAAAGAAGATAAGAGGGAAGGAAAAGGTGAGGAGGGAGACCCCACTGGCCGGGACCACCCCCCATACACACACACAGCACTCTATTTATGGTGGGGGGCTGTCAAGGCATCCCTAAAGAAGATAAGAGGGAAGGAAAAGGTGAGGAGGGAGACCCCACTGGCCGGGACCACCCCCCATACACACACACAGCACTCTATTTATGGTGGGGGGCTGTCAAGGCATCCCTAAAGAAGATAAGAGGGAAGGAAAAGGTGAGGAGGGAGACCCCACTGGCCGGGACCACCCCCCATACACACACACAGCACTCTATTTATGGTGGGGGGCTGTCAAGGCATCCCTAAAGAAGATAAGAGGGAAGGAAAAGGTGAGGAGGGAGACCCCACTGGCCGGGACCACCCCCCATACACACACACAGCACTCTATTTATGGTGGGGGGCTGTCAAGGCATCCCTAAAGAAGATAAGAGGGAAGGAAAAGGTGAGGAGGGAGACCCCACTGGCCGGGACCACCCCCCATACACACACACAGCACTCTATTTATGGTGGGGGGCTGTCAAGGCATCCCTAAAGAAGATAAGAGGGAAGGAAAAGGTGAGGAGGGAGACCCCACTGGCCGGGACCACCCCCCATACACACACACAGCACTCTATTTATGGTGGGGGGCTGTCAAGGCATCCCTAAAGAAGATAAGAGGGAAGGAAAAGGTGAGGAGGGAGACCCCACTGGCCGGGACCACCCCCCATACACACACACAGCACTCTATTTATGGGGGGGGGGCTGTCAAGGCATCCCTAAAGAAGATAAGAGGGAAGGAAAAGGTGAGGAGGGAGACCCCACTGGCCGGGACCACCCCCCATACACACACACAGCACTCTATTTATGGGGGGGGGGCTGTCAAGGCATCCCTAAAGAAGATAAGAGGGAAGGAAAAGGTGAGGAGGGAGACCCCACTGGCCGGGACCACCCCCCATACACACACACAGCACTCTATTTATGGGGGGGGGGCTGTCAAGGCATCCCTAAAGAAGATAAGAGGGAAGGAAAAGGTGAGGAGGGAGACCCCACTGGCCGGGACCACCCCCCATACACACACACAGCACTCTATTTATGGTGGGGGGCTGTCAAGGCATCCCTAAAGAAGATAAGAGGGAAGGAAAAGGTGAGGAGGGAGACCCCACTGGCCGGGACCACCCCCCATACACACACACAGCACTCTATTTATGGTGGGGGGCTGTCAAGGCATCCCTAAAGAAGATAAGAGGGAAGGAAAAGGTGAGGAGGGAGACCCCACTGGCCGGGACCACCCCCCATACACACACACAGCACTCTATTTATGGTGGGGGGCTGTCAAGGCATCCCTAAAGAAGATAAGAGGGAAGGAAAAGGTGAGGAGGGAGACCCCACTGGCCGGGACCACCCCCCATACACACACACAGCACTCTATTTATGGGGGGGGGGCTGTCAAGGCATCCCTAAAGAAGATAAGAGGGAAGGAAAAGGTGAGGAGGGAGACCCCACTGGCCGGGACCACCCCCCATACACACACACAGCACTCTATTTATGGGGGGGGGGCTGTCAAGGCATCCCTAAAGAAGATAAGAGGGAAGGAAAAGGTGAGGAGGGAGACCCCACTGGCCGGGACCACCCCCCATACACACACACAGCACTCTATTTATGGGGGGGGGGCTGTCAAGGCATCCCTAAAGAAGATAAGAGGGAAGGAAAAGGTGAGGAGGGAGACCCCACTGGCCGGGACCACCCCCCATACACACACACAGCACTCTATTTATGGTGGGGGGCTGTCAAGGCATCCCTAAAGAAGATAAGAGGGAAGGAAAAGGTGAGGAGGGAGACCCCACTGGCCGGGACCACCCCCCATACACACACACAGCACTCTATTTATGGTGGGGGGCTGTCAAGGCATCCCTAAAGAAGATAAGAGGGAAGGAAAAGGTGAGGAGGGAGACCCCACTGGCCGGGACCACCCCCCATACACACACACAGCACTCTATTTATGGGGGGGGGGCTGTCAAGGCATCCCTAAAGAAGATAAGAGGGAAGGAAAAGGTGAGGATGGAGACCCCACTGGCCGGGACCACCCCCCATACACACACACAGCACTCTATTTATGGGGGGGGGGCTGTCAAGGCATCCCTAAAGAAGATAAGAGGGAAGGAAAAGGTGAGGAGGGAGACCCCACTGGCCGGGACCACCCCCCATACACACACACAGCACTCTATTTATGGGGGGGGGGCTGTCAAGGCATCCCTAAAGAAGATAAGAGGGAAGGAAAAGGTGAGGAGGGAGACCCCACTGGCCGGGACCACCCCCCATACACACACACAGCACTCTATTTATGGTGGGGGGCTGTCAAGGCATCCCTAAAGAAGATAAGAGGGAAGGAAAAGGTGAGGAGGGAGACCCCACTGGCCGGGACCACCCCCCATACACACACACAGCACTCTATTTATGGTGGGGGGCTGTCAAGGCATCCCTAAAGAAGATAAGAGGGAAGGAAAAGGTGAGGAGGGAGACCCCACTGGCCGGGACCACCCCCCATACACACACACAGCACTCTATTTATGGTGGGGGGCTGTCAAGGCATCCCTAAAGAAGATAAGAGGGAAGGAAAAGGTGAGGAGGGAGACCCCACTGGCCGGGACCACCCCCCATACACACACACAGCACTCTATTTATGGTGGGGGGCTGTCAAGGCATCCCTAAAGAAGATAAGAGGGAAGGAAAAGGTGAGGAGGGAGACCCCACTGGCCGGGACCACCCCCCATACACACACACAGCACTCTATTTATGGTGGGGGGCTGTCAAGGCATCCCTAAAGAAGATAAGAGGGAAGGAAAAGGTGAGGAGGGAGACCCCACTGGCCGGGACCACCCCCCATACACACACACAGCACTCTATTTATGGTGGGGGGCTGTCAAGGCATCCCTAAAGAAGATAAGAGGGAAGGAAAAGGTGAGGAGGGAGACCCCACTGGCCGGGACCACCCCCCATACACACACACAGCACTCTATTTATGGTGGGGGGCTGTCAAGGCATCCCTAAAGAAGATAAGAGGGAAGGAAAAGGTGAGGAGGGAGACCCCACTGGCCGGGACCACCCCCCATACACACACACAGCACTCTATTTATGGGGGGGGGGCTGTCAAGGCATCCCTAAAGAAGATAAGAGGGAAGGAAAAGGTGAGGAGGGAGACCCCACTGGCCGGGACCACCCCCCATACACACACACAGCACTCTATTTATGGGGGGGGGGCTGTCAAGGCATCCCTAAAGAAGATAAGAGGGAAGGAAAAGGTGAGGAGGGAGACCCCACTGGCCGGGACCACCCCCCATACACACACACAGCACTCTATTTATGGGGGGGGGGCTGTCAAGGCATCCCTAAAGAAGATAAGAGGGAAGGAAAAGGTGAGGAGGGAGACCCCACTGGCCGGGACCACCCCCCATACACACACACAGCACTCTATTTATGGTGGGGGGCTGTCAAGGCATCCCTAAAGAAGATAAGAGGGAAGGAAAAGGTGAGGAGGGAGACCCCACTGGCCGGGACCACCCCCCATACACACACACAGCACTCTATTTATGGTGGGGGGCTGTCAAGGCATCCCTAAAGAAGATAAGAGGGAAGGAAAAGGTGAGGAGGGAGACCCCACTGGCCGGGACCACCCCCCATACACACACACAGCACTCTATTTATGGGGGGGGGGCTGTCAAGGCATCCCTAAAGAAGATAAGAGGGAAGGAAAAGGTGAGGAGGGAGACCCCACTGGCCGGGACCACCCCCCATACACACACACAGCACTCTATTTATGGGGGGGGGGCTGTCAAGGCATCCCTAAAGAAGATAAGAGGGAAGGAAAAGGTGAGGAGGGAGACCCCACTGGCCGGGACCACCCCCCATACACACACACAGCACTCTATTTATGGGGGGGGGGCTGTCAAGGCATCCCTAAAGAAGATAAGAGGGAAGGAAAAGGTGAGGATGGAGACCCCACTGGCCGGGACCACCCCCCATACACACACACAGCACTCTATTTATGGGGGGGGGGCTGTCAAGGCATCCCTAAAGAAGATAAGAGGGAAGGAAAAGGTGAGGAGGGAGACCCCACTGGCCGGGACCACCCCCCATACACACACACAGCACTCTATTTATGGTGGGGGGCTGTCAAGGCATCCCTAAAGAAGATAAGAGGGAAGGAAAAGGTGAGGAGGGAGACCCCACTGGCCGGGACCACCCCCCATACACACACACAGCACTCTATTTATGGTGGGGGGCTGTCAAGGCATCCCTAAAGAAGATAAGAGGGAAGGAAAAGGTGAGGAGGGAGACCCCACTGGCCGGGACCACCCCCCATACACACACACAGCACTCTATTTATGGTGGGGGGCTGTCAAGGCATCCCTAAAGAAGATAAGAGGGAAGGAAAAGGTGAGGAGGGAGACCCCACTGGCCGGGACCACCCCCCATACACACACACAGCACTCTATTTATGGGGGGGGGGCTGTCAAGGCATCCCTAAAGAAGATAAGAGGGAAGGAAAAGGTGAGGAGGGAGACCCCACTGGCCGGGACCACCCCCCATACACACACACAGCACTCTATTTATGGTGGGGGGCTGTCAAGGCATCCCTAAAGAAGATAAGAGGGAAGGAAAAGGTGAGGAGGGAGACCCCACTGGCCGGGACCACCCCCCATACACACACACAGCACTCTATTTATGGTGGGGGGCTGTCAAGGCATCCCTAAAGAAGATAAGAGGGAAGGAAAAGGTGAGGAGGGAGACCCCACTGGCCGGGACCACCCCCCATACACACACACAGCACTCTATTTATGGTGGGGGGCTGTCAAGGCATCCCTAAAGAAGATAAGAGGGAAGGAAAAGGTGAGGAGGGAGACCCCACTGGCCGGGACCACCCCCCATACACACACACAGCACTCTATTTATGGGGGGGGGGCTGTCAAGGCATCCCTAAAGAAGATAAGAGGGAAGGAAAAGGTGAGGAGGGAGACCCCACTGGCCGGGACCACCCCCCATACACACACACAGCACTCTATTTATGGGGGGGGGGCTGTCAAGGCATCCCTAAAGAAGATAAGAGGGAAGGAAAAGGTGAGGAGGGAGACCCCACTGGCCGGGACCACCCCCCATACACACACACAGCACTCTATTTATGGTGGGGGGCTGTCAAGGCATCCCTAAAGAAGATAAGAGGGAAGGAAAAGGTGAGGAGGGAGACCCCACTGGCCGGGACCACCCCCCATACACACACACAGCACTCTATTTATGGTGGGGGGCTGTCAAGGCATCCCTAAAGAA